ATCCTCCCTTAAGAAGAACGAAAGGTTCGTCCCGGTTGCTAACAATAGTGGGCTTCCCCTACATATTAGCATCCTATTAAAAGCCAAAAAAGCTGCTTTCCGGAGAGCAGCAAAGTATCCCACCCCCGAATATAGGCGCACGGCCAATCGTCTTCAACGAGAACTCCGTTTCCGCCTCTCTGAATTTCGAGACCTCGAAAAGAGTAAACTCATGGAGAATATCTCTCCATCTCATACAGCGTACTATCAGATGGCTAGAGCCCTCCGCATAGACGCTATCACCCACACTCCCCCTCTCTCCCGTCCCGCGGTACGGTTGCCTTCGAGGACGAGGAAAAGGCTGAGTGCTTTGCAGATAGCATTGCCGCACAATGCTCTCCTAGCTCTCAACCCGTCGACCCCTCACACGTCCAGGCAGTGGAGGATGAGGTCCGCCGCCGGAACTCACCCCCTACAGCCTCCGAATCTATCTCTGTGTCCAATGATGAGATTTCATCCCTCATCAAAGGACTTAAGCCTAAAAAGGCTCCGGGCGCGGATGGCATCTCTAACCAAGCCCTAAAACACTTTCCTGAGCAGGTGTTAACCTTTTTTATCTATTATCTTCAACGCCTGTTTCAACCTTAGTTACTTTCCCACTACGTGGAAAGAGGCAACTGTGATTGGTATTCCCAAGCCAGGCAAGCCTCTCAACCTCCCATCCAGTCATCGCCCCATTAGCCTCCTCAAGGCAATAGGCAAGCTCTTCGAAAGAGTCATCCAAACTCGTATGAGGCGCTATCTGTTTCCCACAGACGGTGACCCTCTTATCATTCGTATTGTGGAATATATCCTCAGCGGTTTTTATCCTCGTCGTCATAAGACCATCGCGGTCTTTTTCGACATAGCTAAAGCCTTCGATAGAGTCTGGCATACAGGCCTTATCTACAAGCTGTACAAAATAGGTCCTCCCCGATCGTCTAGTACGTCTCATGGCCTCTTACTTAAAGCATCGTACCTTTCGTTTTAGACACGAAGGCACGCTATCTTCACAGCGCACTATCAAAGCTGGTGTCCCTCAGGGCTCAGTACTTGCTCCTCTGCTGTACATCCTGTTCACCAACGACATTCCCATCCCGTCGAAAGGTGTTCAGCTCTCCCTCTTCGCAGACGACACTGCTATCTACTGCAAAGGTATCTCACTACCTTTCATACGGAACAAGATTCAAAAGTCAGTTGACGACCTACGAGCTTGGTTCAAAAAATGGCGCATCGATGTGAACCCGGAGAAGAGCTCCGCCGTTCACTTCGATTATAAACGACGCCGTCTCAAAAACACTCCACCAATACGTATGCTAGGGACCCCTGTCCCCTGGCATACGACTGCCAAATATTTAGGTGTCACTCTAGACACAAGGCTCACTTTCAGGCCCCACGTCAAAAGAGTAACCCGTCACGCACGTTTTTACCTGAGTAGGCTCAACAGTATGTTGGGCCGACGCAGTAAAATGTCCCTTAGAAACAAGCGTACCCTTTATAAGGTCTGTATACGACCAGTCATGTCCTACGCGGGCCCCGTTTTTGCCCACCCCGACACTAAAATTATTAATGAACTCCAAATGGTTCAAAACCCTTTCTGTCGTCGAGCTGCGAACGCACCTTGGTACGTCTGTAATGCCGACCTTCATCGGGACCTAGAGCTCCCCACAATTCAACAATTTCTCAAAAAACTCTCTGAGAACTTCTTCAAAGCCTCAGAGTCGCACTCAAACCATTTAATTCGTGAGGCAGCTACTTATGCAGCCCCACCCCCCCTCTCGCTATCGAGTCCGCAGGCCGAGAAACTCTCTCTCGGACCCGCCTAATAAACTATCAAGCGACCTGAACTGCCTCCTGGCGGCTCAGGCCAACTCTAATTAAATTAAATTATTATTCACAATTAATTTGCCTTCGTAGGGAGTGCCTCAGCGGCTCGTAGCCGCCTGCGCCCTCTTTTCCCAAAAGAGGGTCGCTCACGATAAGGCACAATAAAGCTTAATCAGCCAGTTGCCTGTCCCTAAAGGCGGTTTTTAGAGGGTATCACTTAGGTTCCCCGGTAGGATGTGAGTCCCTCATAACCACGATAGACCGGCTATCGTGGTATGCGTAATGCATTTTCCGCCTCCCTACGTATAGGGTAGCCCTTTATTTGCTTCGGGCGCAAAAAAAATTACAATTTTTAGAAAATCTAATTAGGAAGTAGGAAGGTGTAATCGTAGTTAGCACAGTTAGGATCCGATTTAGTTAAATTGGAGGTCCCGACCGCTCTACTTCCTAAATTTTTTACAATTTAGTACAGTGTAATCGCAACGTTACGATTTAGAACAACCAGTCGGCGCCCGCGCTTTAATTAATGGTGATTAATATAACGCATAGCGTCATATTATAGCGCGCTATATCTCCATAACACATAGCGCGTGTTATGTAAGTAGTCGCCAAAGCGCCATAGCGCTATGGCGCTTTGGCGCTATTAAGTATTAATATCTAGCGGCAATTAGTTCTATCAGTAGCGCTGTTGGGAGAGGACGTGTGACCCAAATTTGATCTCGTAGCGCGCTATTCATCGCGCGCGACCTAATTTAATGTTAGACGTTGTTTAGTTAGTGTACACTGTATTTATATGTATATACAATGTTGTGATAAAAGAAGCCTAACTAATGTTTTTAATGTAAATAAAATATAGATACAAAATTGTAACATAATAGTGTATGTAAATAATTTATTTTTATAAATACAATAAATAAACTTTTAAATACACCTTTATTTGATTTATAATTTATATTAAGATTAAAATAACGTTTACATCAATTATAATAAAAATAATTAATTTTATTTCGATTTTAAAAATAAAATTAATACTATTTTAAATAGTACAGAAAAGTATGAAAACGCTTGCATTGGTTTTTCTTTACCGCTTTATTTTATTTTAGTCTAAAATGCGACTTATTACGAAATAATGTTCTTATATAGCACGCCATCTATCCAATGAACGACTAAGAATTATAACGCGCTGTAAAACTTAACGCGCTTACCGGCCTCCTACACGCTTTCTTATAAATAGCGCGCTATAACATAGCGTATTTAATAGCGCGCTAGAAATTTATAGTTTATAGTCTGTAGCGTGCTATTGATTTATAGTCGTTTTGAACAATAGAAGCGGTTCTGATATCAGAGATCACTACATTAAATCTTAATATTAATTTCCGGTAGCTATAAAACGTAATGTCACTATCAAACATTCTTTGGCACTCACACTTTATCGAAATATCGTCACTTCTTTTTCAATATGTTTGGATACCAAACTTAACAAATAATGAAACTGTTTTATAGGTGGTAGAGCCATGCTGCAGTTATATTAGTAGTATAGTTGTAGCACAAATGGGTCGGCTCGAACGGGGAAGGTCCACGCTCTCACAGAATACCAGCGTGAAATAGTAGCCTAATGTTGCTGTGTTTCAGACCCTTTTTACTGGAAACGAGGCATTCCATCTTAGTCGTCACAGGTGACAACGCATCTGCATTTTGATTTGTAATCGAGGATAGATGTAGATATATATGGGCCGCAGCAACCACTTACCATCAGGTGGCCTGTGTGCTCGTTTGTCACCCGATCCCATAAAAAACTGCTTAGAATCTAAAAATGCTTTAAATTCAAGGGACGTAAGTTTGACGTCGCTATAACCAAAAAGTCGTTACAACCGAAGTCGTTATTAATTAAATCCACTTTTATATATATATATATATATATATATATATATATATATATATATATATATATATAATAAAAATAATCGCATACGCAACGCAGAGCAATGCCACCAAAACTTTCCAAGTCAGTCATATCGCTGAACATATTTTGCTAGATTAAAAATCACTTTAGTTTAAAGGAATTGGGATCACATCAAATCGCCTAAACTATTCGCAGTAAAGGGATTTTTTTAAATACATAAAATCGTAAATAAATAAAACAAACACAAATATGCAAAATTAAAATATAGCATAAGCAATAAAAAAATCAATTGCAAATAACAAAATGCACATAATCGAACGTTATCAGGTTCACAATTCGATCAGTAATATGTACCCACAAACATAAAATATCAATAAAATATCCCGAAATTTTTTATAACGACTAATAATCAGGTATAACAACAGTTATTACCAGATTATTAGTCGTCATTTGTATTTTTTTAGGATTATTATTAGTTCCAGTCTTCGTATTTTACATAATTTTCAATAAAAGCTAACTTAATACGTCCCTAAAAAAAACAATTATAAGTATAACAACGCAAAACAGCACAGCAACAAAAAAGTGAACAGGCCAAAGTATTAAAAGTCTTATTCAAATGAATGTTGCACAAGGAATTATGTTCATTAGTATTTACATATTATATGTACGTATTATTATTTTAATTATTTATTTAAACCTTTATTGTGTTAAACTTAATGTAATAAAGGGCGGACTTAAGGCCAGTTGGCATTTCCATTATGTGGGTGATATTAAAAAGAAAAAAACAGCTATAGTACACACATTAAAAAAAAACATTCACGCATTAGTCTTTGACCGTTTACGCCAATTAAAGTACATAAACAAATACGTCTCCAAATCAACATAATGCTGCAAATGCAGCGCCGATTTTCAGTTGAAGTCATCACTCACGATTCGGTGTGATCTTCCAATTACGAGTTACAGAGTAATTAATAACGAGTTAGTGAGTAGTGCTAAATGCTAATGTACATAGATAATATACAATAAGACTAACCTAGCCAGCAGATATACAAATTTTAAATAGTATAATATATTTATATATACTTAATACTTTTACAACAAATTATAAAATATTAACATGATATTAGGCTCTATGGGGAAAACTTATTATGTAATGTTAATTAGAGCGAACTGCAACCAATAAATAAATTATTTACTTAGCAGAAAGAAACACATAAAATTTTAAAATTGTCATAGGCTTAAAAATATTTACCCAGGCTTGTTAGGATCTTGTTGCATTTCGTAAGAGACATTTAGACCGCCCCAAGTAGACCGTCCAGGTATACCATGTGGTGAATGGCCGGGGACGCTAGGCTCCATTGCAGCCTGAAATCGATTAACATGAGCGTTAAGTTTTACGATAACAGCATGACAAAATCCACGAGCTCAGATGACAAAAGTCAGATAAGGGTTGCTAGATTTTGTTTTTTAAACTTCCTACCAAAACAATATCATTTATAAAAGAAATACCCAGCGAAATTGCCTAACAATTAGGTTCGTAGAATTCTGGTACGAATTCCCCTGCGACAACTATCTCGCCCATAGTAAAACAAACCAACGTGGAGGGAAGTCGTGGAGGGAATTTGTGACAGTGTACTTCATCATCGTCATTGTTACAGCCCTTCACATGTCCACTGGTAAATATAAGTCTCATCTTAGAAATACCACGAAAGACGGTTTGAGCTACCCGCATTTGCACAATACTATATAGTATGTAAGAGCCTTAGTTAAATATTATTCATATTATATACGATTTGTCCACAATTAGTGACCAAATTTGGCAACTTTTTACTTCTTTTGCGCCCTCTAAATGAATATATTTTTCTCTTTCATTTTTCTATCTAGTGATATCAGCCTGTCGTGAAACTTTTTGCCATATCGGTTGTTGGTTTTCAGACTTTATGGCTGACACATTGCCCCTTCTGCTTACTTTTTTATATAAAGAATGATCGTAACGCTATTTACCTAATTAAAAACACTCATTAACTACTCTAAGCTAGCTTAAAATGTTTTTTTATTGAATAAGGGTAACGAACGAGCACGCAGTCTTTATGATGGTAAGTGAATGCTGTGGACCATAGACATCTTACATTTATACTCAGTTAAGAATCAAAATGCAGATGCGTTGTCACATCTGAGGTCTAAGATGGAATGCCTCGTTTAAATTAAAAAGGTGCCTCCGGTTCTCCACACTCACCATAAGGAACGCAATTGCATTAGGTTGCTATTTTACGCCGATATTCTGTAAGAGCGTGGCTCTACCACGTATAAAACTTCAAGATCAGTTCAATACAGTAGTCGAATGACGGCTTCATACACACGATTTTCCAAGTTTGCAGTCGAAACCCCTATCATTTGGCTACAGTCGTTCGTACTAATATAACTAATACAAATATAAGTATCTGTCACATTATGGATATATCCAAGTAATTTCACTATTTTGCCTACCTTTTATACAAAGAAATACTGGACGACAATATGTGTTGTAACTAATATGCCGGGAATTATGAATGTAAAGACAAGAAAATCTTACTAGTAACGATGAATAATTCTTTATACATTATATATTTAGGCTTAACCATAAATTTTATTCATTAAATTAAAAAAAAACACTTCATCACTAAAATTGAAGGTAGTGTTTTAAAATCTGCATTACAACTATTACTTCTACAAAATTTAAAAGTTTTTTTATGTACGAAGATGAGGTTCCTTATTCAAATTGTAGCATTAAGGGCGTGTCTGCTAGGGGAAGTATCCCCCTAACCTCGCGGATGGATTTTTACATCTGTTCAATGTTTTATTCTTTAACGTCCCACATAACAAATCATATATAAAAATATTCGCACAATTATGTTTGTGACTTTGCCTTTATCAAAAATTAATGTTAGTAACATAATGATTTTTATTCATAAAGTATGCGCAAAATCGCCGTCGCCAAATGAAGCAATATGACCTTAAATTGTTAATAACAACACGTGCGCAACATTTGTGTCAAAACAAATGTGCATTGTGCACGGATTGTGACAATGTGAATACAATCACATGGATACGGAGGATTCGATCAAGATAAACGACTTACCATTTTCCTTCGTTTACGGGAAACTGCCACATTCGGTCAGTTTTGTAAAATGACAAAAAAATTCCAAAACATTTTCATAAATTTTAAAATACAATAACAATAAAACACATCCAGAAAAATTTCCGCATCTAAAATTGTTCCTAAGACAAACCTAATATTTTCAATCAAATATGTCTAAGTTACGATATACATTTACTTTTTTAATGGAAAGTTAGCAGCTGTTACTCAAGCCAGCGTTGTAAGCGTACTGATCTGAATGGATGGCGGACACATGTTTAGTCCGATGCTCCGATGCGCAAACGCAGGGCAGGTAGCTGAGGGGATGGGGAGCAGGTACAAAATCGCAATGTTTAACTTTACAAGGGTGGTCAATACAAAACTATCGATACTACTTTTAGGAAAAAAATTAAGATAGTACTTTTACAACAAGAGAAAAGTTTTTTTTAATACGGTTTATTTATATTTTTCACATTATTCATTATTTTCTAAAAATAAATTTGCGTCGGCTTAAGAATACATTAAATAAACAAAAATATCTTAGAATTAGAGTTGGGCCGATTAGCCACCGACTAATCGGTGAAGCCAATTAATCGGCTAAAACCGCCGATTAATCGGCTTTTTATTTTAATAATATCAGCAAAGGTTTTTCGTGATTTTCTGCCTGGTAAGTGCGACTACATTGATATGAGTAAAGCTTTAAATTGCCTAAAATTACGTCAGATTTATATGCAGGTAAATCAAATAAATAATAAAATAAGTTGGTTCATACATAACTTTTATTGAAAAATCAGTCTAACATGTTTTAATGTTAATTAATCTGGACATAAGAACTTTGATAAAAAGAATCTGAGGTAGGTGAGGTATTTAAATTTAAAACTCAACAAAAACCTAAGTACTTACTATTTAATTCTACCTTTTAACTTTTTCTAATTGTAATGCAGAGTAGTAACAAAACAAAATAAAATATTAATAATGATAGTCTTAATAAACTTTAAAAAACAAATTTTAAGTCTCTCTATTTACATAACATAAAAACACTTAATTCCTGAATAAAGATTGTTTAGTTACACGCATGTAGATTTTTTGTTAGATTTTTACAAATAGAACAATACTTGTTTCAGAACTTAAAAGTAAATTTTATTGCCTTTGTACTAAAAGTTAAATTAAATTATTATTTTTCTGTACTTAAAATCACAATAAATTGTTTTTTCCTGTAATGTTATTAAATAAAGAATCTCAAATCATCTTCATCATCAACGAATGAGACCGACATTTTCCGAACGCCGCCGAAACAGGGATCGACTGGGCCGATTAATCGGCCATTCCTTAACCGAGTAATCGGCTAATCGGCCAAAGTACTAATCGGCCCAACTCTAGTTAGAATGGCTTTCGCTATTTTTTAGTCGGTTCGAGCTGGAGTACGTTTCTTTACTTAAAAATAATTTTTGCCAAACGTATCTATTTGCAAAAACAATATTTAGATTGAAATAATACTAGTTTTTACGGAATTTATCGCGTGTATTTAACTTTTTAATTACCCGACGTTTCGAACGCTTTACAGCACTCATGGTCACGGGCAGGACTGAGATGTTCAACGTCCATATGACATAGTTAACCGCGGTTACCATAGATTAAAATTTAACTTTTGTTCCGATCTATGCAGTATGAACTTATGGTATCTTGAAGTCTTGCAGTTGTATGCTTGGGTTGGGATTTAATTTTATTTATTATAGGATCCCAAGCAGATGGTAGCACCCAGCCATCTTCTCTATTGAAATTAGGATGTTTTTTGATTTCAATAGCCTCGCGAATCATCCTTGGAAGGAATCGGTGTTCTTTAGCGAGGATCTGCGGTCTATCAAATCTGATGTAGTGACGGGGGCGATCCTGTACGTGTTCACAGACTGCAGACTTCCCGGAGCGTCGATTCTTCACATCAGTAGCTGATGTGAAGAATCGACGCTCCGGGACGTTCCGGGAGTGCTGTAAAGCGTTCGAAACGTCGGGTAATTAAATTTAACTTTTAAATACACGCGATAAATTCCGTAAAAACTAGTATTATTTCAATGTGTAGTGTTCGCGTAAATATAAGAAATCACATATTTAGATTTTTTCAGTTAGTACGATAAAACAACTTATGGCATAAAAACATATAATAGGGAAATAAGACTGAATAAACCTCATAATCAAGTAAACAAGGCGAAACAAGGGTAACCGCAATACCAAACAATTTCCTAATTAATTACATCATTAAAAACAAGTTGTTTGTATTTCTGAGGTATTTCTCTTAAATATTTCCTAATTTTAATCTTCGTTAATTAAAGGTAAACGTTCTACGATTCCCATACTAACCAAATTTTTAACATTACCGGGGAGTTCCGCTTACCTGACAAGATAAGACGATCAAACAAACTTAAGTATTTAGGGCGTTCGCATATCTAGTGAATGAGAGCGATAACTCGATGGGTCTATGATGATCTTATAAAACACCATTAGGTATCTATAAAATAATAGCGTCAAATTCCCCAATTAAAGTCTTGAGCTATAATGTACTACGTACTAGAGGAGACACTGCATTCAGCTACTCTGTTCCACTCAACTGCAGTGCATGCACCGTACTTTAATCACATCAGTCACTCGCTAGGCGCTTGTAGAGTTGTCACATGTTGTGTTGATTTAAAAAAAAATCTCTTGATAAAAATATGCCGTCTTGTGTACTTAGGTATTGCACAAATAATTCAAGAAATGTCAGTAAAAACCAAGGAATTACTTTTCACCGGTTAATAAGGTACTTAATCAATAAAAAATATTATAAATTAATAATAAAACAAATTATTCCTAAGACGCCATCTCGTATCATGGATTATAGATTATGAAATTAATATGTTCAGATGCGACATTTCTGTGGGTACTTAAGTATAGGACGAATATATTTATTATACACATTTTTTGTGGAAACATATATAATTTATTATAATTAGGCTAAATTTTTCATGTTTAAATCTGCTTATTATTCTTTTATTTTATTTTTAGGTTTCCACTTCAAACTCAAAGTGGAATAAATTCATCCATTTTTAACTCTCGCGTGCTCAGCATTTATGAATGATTATTTACAGCATTTCTGATTCTAATTTAAATAAATATATTTGTAATTTAAATTTTATTTTAATAAGTTGTGTTAAACATACATTTAGTACGTTTTTTTATATTTGACATAGATACCTTTTAAAATATTCAGATAAAAATATCATTAAAATGTAATTGTGATATAATATTATGTAATATTATATTAAATAAACAAATATAATATACAAAATAAATGACAAATTTAAATATTGTTCTCGATATAATTTACGTATTTAACAATACAATCTACTATTACCTATGGATCATTCTACCTATGTTTATTCTATGATAAAAAAACCAACCGCGCGAACACAGAGTAGCGCACATTTTTTGTTTGAGATAGCTGTTCTAGTACGTAAGTACATATTACTTCAATGATTAAAGTAGATATAATGATCGTATTCGGCTGATCAATTTCATCAAACATCATCATCAGCATGCGGCAGTCCACAGCTCAAAATAGGCCCCTGCCTATGGGTGTCTTTTCGCCCGATATTTAGCTTATTTTACTAGCCGCCTTGTGCGGATATTCGCCCCGTTCACTTCAACGTTACCTTTGCGCACGGGTTGCCACCCTATGATACTACTACTCAATGTTGAATGAATACTCCTGACGAGTTGGAACTACGCATTAATTTAAACAAGACGAAAGTTATATTTAATAGTCATGTCATATCAGGTCCGCTTATCGTCGACCTCGGACAGTGAAGTTGGGTTTCTACCAGTCATCGGGCAGATAGTACGTACTTATACGTTTAGTAGAAACCAAGGCCGATGGCTTCAAGAAATTAGCTGACAGGCGAATTCTATAATTGGGCTCGGCAACATTCTGGAAGGTATGTAAATCTCCTTGTAGTCCACACTGTAAAACCTTGTGGTGCCGTACAACATTATGGTCCGGAAACGTGGAATTAATGGTACTACTGCACAAGATCATAGCCACCAAGCGATGGAGAGACCTCTACGGTCAGACCACTAAATTAACAAAAACATATTCCACAGTCCTTGAAGACACCAACATTGTAGCCGTAGGAAAAACAGATGCCCGAAAATATACCCACTTCGTTGCTGTACGAATTACGAAAGACGTATGTCGATTATGGAATTAATCGATTTACCATACCATCGGCTTCAAGGCGCAGTGGCTTAGGAATGAATTGAAGAGCTAAAGGCCTACAAATAATTGGTCCCCGGTCTGACGTTTGTCCATGTCAAATTTATGTATGTAAACTGCCCACACTATAGGAGAAAATCTTTGTGTGTTGTGTTGTTAACGTTTCAAAGAAATTCTGTTACTGATTTGTAAGTAAGTATATTTATTTTGTTGGTGAGCTACAAACATAACCAATATCGATAACCTAACTAACTTAACCCTTATTTAACATAAGAAAACCAATTATTATTTTTCATGTATAATACGTATTCCACTAAATATATAACGAAGTTTATTAACTGTTTTGATTAAAAAAAAGCAAATATAAAAATATATTGTAGTACCGATTTTACTTTTAAACCCTTTGCGCAAGATAGATAAATAAGCGTTTCGTTGTAAGTTTTAAAGTCATGATGATCTTATGCGAAATGTTTATGCTAATGCTAGTAATGTTAACTTGGAAATATTATTTATTATTATGGTAATTTTAATCAAGCATTAAAGTATTAGTGGTGGTGTAAAAATATCCATTACCTCACATCGTCCCATGGGTGTCAGAAGAGGCAACAAAACACGAGATGAGCAGCACTGACTTTCTAATAACAAGAAAGTAAAAACCTGCGATTGCCAATTCGGCTGCCAAGCGTGGCAAATATCCGTATTATGAGGCAAACTATGGGAGGCCAATGTTCACAAGAGGACTATGATGTCGCCAGGATATATATCATATCCTGGCGATATCATTATAATTATATGCCATATGTTGCCGGAATAATTATGTTAGTGACAAAAATTCTATTATGATCGTATGTTAATTGCAATAATTAATTTACTTAAGGTTGCCTGTTCTGGGTGGTCCTGGCCTTGTTTACTCGATAGGTTGATGATGGCCCTGTTGAGTCTTCTCCTTAATCTTTATAAAACGGTGAAACTAATTTCTTAGCACAAAAAATTGCTTACCTGTTTCTGCGGTTGATGGAATATATGTTGAGATGGCCCAGTCATCTCAGGCGCTGCTGGGACCTTAGTGAAAACAATACTGAGATTTTATATCGTGCAATGAGATTAGGCACATGAAATATAATCGAATTAGAAAACTTCATGCATCGTGAGACAGTATATTATATAATGATGATGTTGTTTATGAGGGCGAATTGCGAAGCTAAGCTTTGCTTTTTAATATCTTTAGGATAGATCATGCGCTTTTCCTTGTAAACTAACTATAAACAAAATTAATATAAGATTGATGTCACACCGAAACCATTTCGCTTATGCAAGAAGATTAAACAACAGATGAATAATATTAATAAATTAAAAAATATTAACGCAAAACAAATTAATAGACACCAAAATGTTTTGGAAAGTTCAAGTTCAAAAAATATTATTACTCTTCTAAACTTTGCAATGTATTTCGATCCGCAGTGAAACAAAAAAAAACCATCAAAATTGGCAGTTACAAAACTAATAATTGATTCTATTACAAGATGTAAAATTATTTTGTATTAACATTTTGTTCTGTAATTTAAAAGGATATCAAATTAAAGTCGTACGAGTGTTATTCGCAAATATATTTTATTATATGTTTAATAAAATTGTTGCTGTGGTAAACTTATTTGAAATAGTTTTGTAAATCAATTATATATATTATGTAACCAATTACAGTGTATAAGGATTATGGGTTTGGTGCGACTCCAACTTCGGACTGTTATTGTTAGTTTCTACTGCCTATTACGTTAAGCATTTAAATTGGTTGCACACACAACTTGTATAGCGATGAGACCGCGAAGCGTATTTAAAAGATTAAAATACTAAATGTCTGAATTGACAAGAAGTATATGTTATGGTATTTGTAAAAAGTCTGTATAGTACAATTTTGTTAATATTTTATGAAAAACAAGATAATGAACAAGTTTAATATATAAATGTTCACTTTTTAATCTGCTGAATTTCACTAAATTTTAAATACTCTACATTTCCTACTGTTACTGTTGATTACATCGGGTTGTGTGGTTATAATAAATTTTATACCGTTTTCTGGGCAAAACAAAAGATTAGCACGATTAATATTACAAATAATTGGAAGGGAGCGGGTGGCAATTGCGGTAGGTTTACGTAAATACGAACAGTGAAAATGTTAGAGGCAACCTCACATCGCGCTGCTTTTTATCGCATTTTTTTTTTATAGAATAGGGTGACAAACGAGCACATAGTCCACCTGATGGTAAGTGGTTGCTGCGGCCCATAGACATCTACATCTATCTTCCATTACAAATCAAAATGCAGATGCGTTGTCACCCGTGAGGACTGAGATGGAATGCCTCAAATGCCTAAAAAGGGTCTCCGGTTCTCTACACTCACCATACGAAATACAGCAGCATTAAGCTACTATTTCACGCTGGTATTCTGTGAGAGCGTGGTCCTTCCCCGGTCGAGCCGACCCATTCGTGCTACAACTATACTACTAATATAATTGCAGCATGGCTCTACCACGTAGAAGCATTTCAAATTTTAAAAACCTTTTTATGTTTTATTTTTATGCTCAGGCTCAGAGAGCTCTTAATTATTTTTATGTTAGCTTTAAATGTGTTCTCGTTAGGTTGGAACGATAAAGTATATATAAACATACATATAAACGAAATAGAATAAAATATATACTAAATCTAATAAAATAATAAATACATAACATAAACACTCACGCCTGTCATCCAGAGGGGTAAGCAGAGACTACAGACTACCATTTGGCACGATCCTGACACGCCTTTCTCGCCTCCTCCACATCCATAAACCTACGCATACATGCTTGTCGAGTTAAGGGTACTCCTAATTTGGCCCATTTTCAATATAAACTTTCGCCTTATACATCCCTTTCCGACTCTGCCATTCACTTCTGCAACATAAGTTTGCTTTGTCACTCTTTCCTTATTCATTCTTTTCACATGACCAAACCACCGAAGTACTCCTTTCTTAATCCTGGTCACTACATCATCAGGCAAACCACACTAATCTCTTATCACACAATTTCTCACCTTGTCACTCAGATTCAGGCCTACTATACTAACAAAACGGATATGTAAATACTTATAAAGAAATTGAAGTGTGTAGTATTGAAATAACTCGGATTCCTCCCACAAGATTTAAAAGATGCTCCTTCAATAAATACATTTAAACCTAAGCTTGAGGCATATTATTTAAAATTACTTGATTAATTTTATTATGTTTATTATAATTTCATATACTATATTGTATGTTTTTATTGGTTTCGTATATATATTTTATTTAAAATATATATAATTATATATACTAGCTTGCCAGGCAGACGTTGTTCTGCCCTTTCCGACGACCCTTTGTCATGTCCTATTAAAAATTCTTAAATTCGCAAAAAAAATTGTGGGGCACTCATGGGCAAAAAAACTATTCTATCTCTCAAGTTGGACCAAACTGCACACGGTGTGCAAATTTGATTAAAATCGGTTAAGTAGTTTAGGAGTCCATCGCGGACCAACAACGTGACACGTAATTTATATATATTAAGATATATATATATATATATATATATATATATATATATATATATATGTGTATGTGTATATATGTATAAACTAACATATACATAATATTATATAATACGTTTTCAATAGTATGAATAAATAAGTTAGTTTTTTTCTTACGCAGTTCTTCCCATAGCTCTCACCACACTACAAAAGGTTAGCTGGCAGAGAATGTCTTTTCGCCTTTGTACCAAATTGTTTTGTTTGAATGCAATAAAAAAAATTCTATCTATCTATCTATCTAACTGTTTTTTATAGAGCTCATAGGGTTATTTGTATGGCATTAAAACGTTGTTGACCATTTTTGTAAAATTTATGTATGTCTGTCGGTCCCGATTAATGTTCGGAATGCCAGAATTGATTTTGATGATACTTCACGAGCAGATAGAAAGTTGTGCCAGGAGTTATCTAAACTCTGTTTTATCCGAAAAACTCAACGATATTTTTGTGACATGGAAAAAATCATAAAATATATGATCATGAAATAAATTGATGAAATAATGAACGCCACATTTTTATACCCCACCCAGATAAAAGGCATGGCGGGACGTTTGTAGAAAATTTTCTTATAAAAATAGATTGCTAGCCGTTAGTCTCGTTAAAACTCAAAAACTGCTAGATCAATTTTGATTATTTTTTTTTTGTTTGAATGGGTTTTTAGATAGTTTTGATTCATATTTGGACCCGGTAGGTGGCGCTGTTGTTGTATAAATCAACCGTGCGAAATCGGGGCGGGTCGCTAGTATAAAATAAAAGTAACCTTGATAAATCAATAATATCCAACCAGTCGAAAGGCTTCGCCGAGGGAGATCAAACGGTCAAGGGTTAGTGGGAAAAGGAATGAAACCCTCGGACATTTTAATATGTACAGATGTCGTCCAGATATTTTTTATCTGTTTCAACTTTCACGAGGCTCCCGTCATCCTTGTCTGTGTCCGGTCTACCAACAAAATTTCAGGCTTATTGGCAAGAATAGTTCTGTCTGCCAGTCTCAGTAGAGTCTGGCGCGATTTACGGCCACGGGTTTCAGCAAGTATTTCTAATAAAGCAGTTTTTAACCCACGAGATCGTACTTCACAGCGATGTCCATTACATTACAGTGTCTATGCAAAAAAAGTTCCGAAGAACTAGAGATGGCATATTTTAAGCCTCTCCTCACAGGGATAGCGACAACTTCGACTGATCTATACTGATTATAATAACATTATCCTATAAAATAAAAACAACCTTTATAATGTATTTAATTGTTGGTCTTTATCACACAGACAAAACTTTCGATTTTCCCAAAAGAAGTCACCAAAAAGTAGTCAGTGAAGGAAGGCAAATGTGTCTATAAATGCTCTCATGTCGAGTCCTGTAGAACTTCACATGCAGCTTCCTATCTTTCCATATGGACATATCTATTGCTGTTTAGGTCCAGATACGGGGGTAAATTTATCTCAGTTAATGGCGTCATTGTAGAATGGTTATTAATATTAGTGTTCCTGTCATTATCATTAATATTACCAGTCCCCTGCTGAACACAGGCCTCCGCCAAGGAAAGCCACAAAGCTTGGTTCTGAGCCACCTGCATCCATCGATTTTCTGCATGTTTTGCCAGGTGGTACTCGATCTAGTGGGACGCGCCCTACACTTCGGCTAAAGGTACAAGGATCGCCCAAGAACCATTCCTGCCCGTAAATCTCATTTTTTAAATAAATAGATAAAATATAATAAAAATAAATAAAATAGATTAGAATAAATATACGTGAAATAGAATTGTTATACTATTTATATTAAAATATAAATCAAAACCAACCAGACGAAGGCCGTGGCAAGGGAAACCAAACAGCCGAGGGTGAGTTTTAGGAATGAAACCGGCAGACGATGCAGGTGTTATAGAGGAACACCGGTTTTTGCATTTGAATCCGGTCGACTTGGTCCCGTCGGTCGACCGAGTTTCACTCCGCGTTAGATACCATGTTTCTCAGTAAAGGAAAATAACTAGATACACTTGGTAAGTAAAACAATTTTGTCAATACTGCGGCTTTGTTGGATTGAACATTGAAACATGACAAGTAGGTTTTCAAATAACTTGCTAAGGAGTTATTTAAAACGCAATAAAAATATGACTTGATTATTTTTTATAGAAATAACGCTGTGGGCTCATAGACACCAACATCTTTCCGGGATTATGTAAGAAAATGCCATCTGCATTCGTCTGGGTATTTACTCCTGTAAACTAACATATGAGGGTGCGTTTTAAGTTCGCGGAATGGGTAAGTAGGTAATAAGTGGGGACGTCGCTGAATTACGTGCCAATTAAGCAACTCAATATTAGTATAAATGCCAGGTTTTATTGTAATTAGATCATTAGTCTTTCAGTTATCGTCAACCAAACAAGTCAATCGGGAAGAAATTGTGAAATATGGAGAAAATCGAGTTCCGTGCCGTTATAAAGGTGCTTAGCAAGCGCGGAAAATCGGTTCAGACTATACTGGAAGAGATATCATCCGTTTACGGAGATTCTTTTCCAAGTAAAACTATGGTTTACAAGTGGTATACCCTTTTTAAACAAGGCAGAGAGTCATTTGAAGACGACCCACGGCCAGGAAGGCCGATCGTGGTGACCACTTCGGAAATTATTAAAAGTCGAAAAATTTATATTAGAAGATGCTGGACTAAAGAAAAAACAGCTCGCAGAAATGGTTGCAGTATCAGATACAACCATTTTCAAAATTCTTCATGACCATCTTGGTATGACTAAATCAGTGCAAGATGGGTGCGTAGAATGCTCACGCCGCCTCAAAAGCAACAGCGCGTGAAGTGTTTTCGTGCATTTTTGGACCTCTGTAAGGAAGACAAAGATGGGGTTGACTCGAATTGTTACTGGTGACGAAACTTGGGTTCACCATTATGAACCTGAGTCCAAACAGAAATATATGTAGTGACACAAAAAAGGCACACCACCCAAGAAATTTAAGGAGGCACAATCGGCTGAGAAAATCATGGAGACAGTCTTTTGGGACTCAGAAAGAATCCTATTGATTAATTATAAAGATAAAGGTGTCTCCATAACCGTAAATTACTACGCTTCAATTCTAGAACAATTGAAGGAAGCCATAAAGGAGAAAAGAAGGGGAAATTTGACTAAAGGAATCCTTCTTCTGCACCACAACGCGCCTGTTCACAAGTGCCATGTTGCGATGGCTGCCCTGCAGAAGGTGGGCTTCGAAATTTTGCCACACCCACCCTTCAGTCCTGACCTGGCCCCCAGTGATTATTATCTATTTCCAAACTTAAAAAAAGAACTTCGTAGGAAAAAGTTTTTAAGTAATGAAGAAGTGAAGGAAGCAGTTTCGGCGTCTTTTTTAGAAAAAGACAAATCATTTTTTTGAGGGTATACATAATTTAATTGAATGACCCGAAAAATGTATTAGGGTAGCAGGTAAATATATTGAAAAGGAAAAATAAATTTGGATTTTTATTTCCACTCCTTTTACCCTCCATTCTGCGAACGTAAAAACACACCCTCGTAGAATGCTCTTTTACCAGTAGAAGTCATAGCCAGTTCTCGACGCTTAACTATATGAAACAGCACAGTATTATGCTGCCATTTTACGCTGTTATTTATTCTGTGAGAGCAAGGGCCTCTAATTATACCTCTAATTAGTAATTTTGTTAAATTAAAAAAAAAATTACATTTATCATTACTTGGCGAACGATGATTCAGTCACCAGATAATGTAACCTAACCTAACCTAACTACAAATAATGTTTATTAATATTTGACAGGGCACAATTATAAACTCAAACAAACAGTATTTTTACGCCAGCTTATTTTCAGAATGTTTCAACAAAATGACGTGACGCTTTACAGTTGTATGTGCGACCGCAATATGAAACCTGTGAGTGTGCGGTGAGGTTGAGGCCGTGGCTGGTGGACGGCAAGGGCACCGAGACGAGCAGCGACGTGGGCCCTTCGCGCTCGACCTTCACGCCCTACACAACCCACGCGATTAGTTTGCTTCCTCTGTTATAGCTACCTATGCTCATAATAAATGCCAATATTGACGGCGGAATGGAGATCTATCATCAGCGAGTACGAAAAACGTTTTAACTATTATAACACCATAGTGTAATTACGTCTGTACGTCTAAAATAATGATATTAATTTGAAATAATATAGCTAACCACATAGATTCCAGGTGTAAACGTTAAAATGTGTAAATGATAAAAATTTAACTATACAGATCTATGCATTCCGCCGACATTGAGGTATATTTGATTATTGACTTATTGTTCCACTCATTCCGGATTCCCGAATCCATCCGCATAATATATTAAACTATGTCAAATACTTAAATATTAAATAATAAAAGTAACACATCTCCTTAATTTTTATCTAAACGTAATTTATTCTACTTTGATATAATATGATCATTTAAAATATTTAAAAAAATAATTTTGCTATTTTTATTTTTTACATGGACTATTATAATGCAGTTTTTAATATGAATAAATAAACACAGACAGTCAACTTTTGACGCTTAGTGCTGAACCCAAATGATTTATAGTATGTAAAGTGGGCGGGCTTATTTATTTATGTATGTGTTCACCTGCTACTGTGTCTAAGAATTAAAAAAATTTGATTTGAGTTCAGAAATAAAGCAATTTTTTTCACTTAAATGCTGAAGATAGTATTGCCCGTCCACGTAACTTCTGTTCTATGAAGATATACATATATAATATCTATAATCGTTGACACCACACTTGTGCAAGTAATATGAATTTTCGTTAATAGGCAATAAGATTTGCAATATTTGTAGCGAATTTTTTTTTCGAATACAAATAACTTAATTATATGTATAATTACGTATAACCAAATTATATGTAGCAACGTATAATATACAACTTATTAGTGTTTTTAGTAAAATAAATGAATATTTCTTTTAGCCTTATAAAAATTTATTTATTTTTATAGGATAAGGGTGACAAACGAGCACACCGTCCACCTGATGGTAAGTGGATGCTGTGGCCCATAGACATCTACATTTATCTTCAATTAAGAGGACTGAGATGGAATGCCTCGTTTCCAGTAAAAAAGGTCTCCGGTTCTCTACACTCACCACACGTAATATTTTACGCTGGCATTCTATGAGAGCGTGGATCTGCCCCGGTCGAGCCAACCCATTCATGTTGCAACTACAATATAGCTACAGCATGGCTCTAGCACGTAGACTTTACTTACTTTACTATGGAATGTCACTATAAAACGGAAGTACGTTTATTTCAGACATGTAAGGCAAGTGGTGCATACTCATATTCAATTAATTATGTACTATACAAGCTGCCACCAATTGATTTTAAAAAAAAACCTATAGATGAATATTTTATCATACACATTTTAAGACGGAATTGTTTTGAATTGTATAGAATATAATATGCTTTATTCAATATAGATTACAAATAATACTATTAAGTCATTTACGACTTTACCATTGGCCTGTAAAAAAAGTCTGGGTAAGACCAGTGAAGAAATCCAGTGTTTTTTTAAATAACATTTTAAAATGTTATGTCGATGACTCCGTGGCGCGGTGGCTTCGCATTGAGTTGCAGCTTTGAAGCCTGCGGGTTCGAATCCCGCACGAACAAGTACATTGCCTACAAATAATTGTTCTTGGTCTGGATGTTTGTCCTTGTGCAATTTATACATGTAAATTGTTTCCACGATACAGAAGAAAATCCTAATTGCAATAAAAAGTTTACGAGAATTAACGAAACAATAAAGTAAAACGCTCACAAATTTAAATAAATTTGTAGTCTAAAGGGTTGAGGTCTGCGCAAGATGAAGGTCAGTCTTCAGCTCTTATAAAGTCCGGAACGTTGGTTTCAAGCCAGGCTTGGGTAGTTCGTGCCTTGTGACCAGGTGCAGAGTCCTGCCGGAAAGTCCACGGTACATTTTTAAAAAGTGTATTGCTGAGAGGTTTCACAACACGATCCAAGACTGTTTCTTGATACATTTTGCCTGAAGATTTCACTCCTTTTTCAAAAAATGTAGCTTTGTGACGCCTTGATAAGACACGCACGCCTCACCAAACCATTACTGACGCAGGATGATGACCACGTTGTACCTTTCTGACCACTTGAGCAGCTTCTTTAGAACTATGAGCGTACACTTTATCATTTTGCTTATTGTAGTTTGCTTGTTGCTCTTCAATGGTGAAAATTTTTTCATCGGTAAAGAGGATATTTCTGTGTCCTTCATCTGCGTATCGCGACAGAAGGGGTTTTGATCGATCCACTCTCATAAATTATAAATATAGATTTAGGGCATGTCCCGTATATCGACGATAATCATCGAGCTTCAGGTCTTGTTTTATAATACGCGACAGAGTCCTGGCGGAAATCTTAATTTCTCGCGATAAGATTTTCAGCTTCCTAATGGCATTTCGACGAATTCTGGCTTTAACAGCATTAACAGCCTTTGTAGTTCTAAAAGCACACGGCCGCCCCGATCTTTTATGGTCTTCGATAGAGGAAGTGTTGTATTTGTTGATAGTACGATATACGATATACGGCTGATACCAAGGTTTCGAAGTGTCTGGAATATGACCGACGGCTCCATACCCATTTTGTGCAAGGCGATCACCGCAATCCTATTTTATTTAACACCACATTCCATTTTGTAATTTGATAATAAACACGAAAAAAATATGTGAAATGGCGCGAAATCGTAAAAACTATTAAAAATAATGAACGAGTTCCAAATTAAAAATAATTAAAAATTTGAAAAAAAAAAGTTTTATGTAACAATATTTATAGCCAGACTAGTTATATTTGACCGAACTTATGACCTGACTAAGTATATATATTATAGGAGAGGGGGGCAAACGAGCATACGGCTCACCTGATAGTAAGTGATTAAGGCCGTCCATGAACAACTGTATCACCAGGGGAATTGCAGATGCATAGCCGGCCTTTTAAAAAGAAGTAGGCTCTTTTCTTGAAGGTCCCTAAGTCGTATCGATCCGGAAAAATCTCTAGTGGTAGTCGATTCCACAAGGAAGTTGTGCGAGGAACAAAACTTCCTTTAAATCGCACGGTGGTGAACCGCCACTCATCTAAATGGTATGGATGGTATCGCGAGTTTTGCCGCGATGTGCGACGGTGAAATTATGCGGCTGGAATTAGTCAGAACATTTCCTCAGAGCTAAGCCACGGTAAATGCGATAAAATACGCAAAGAGATGGAACATCTCCGAGTACGAGTCAAGTCTATTGGAAAGAGCTCAGTCGCCGACGATTCAAACGGCTCTGCACTCGATGCGATCAAATGGAAGGAGCTGGCACTGGGGGAGCCCCATCCCAGAGATGGAAACCATTTGCAGCCGAACCTTATAAAGTTGCAGCCGTTATGTCGGAATGAAATACTGTCCCGCTCTGCACAGCACGCCAATTTAGCCAATTTGGCCTTCTCTTCCAAGTGACCATGAAACTGCACGTCACTCGATATGTCGACGCCGAGGATTCCGATACTGAATAAGGCAACAAGGGGACTGAGGAGATACGACGAAGGGGTTCTTTTTAGCGGTGAACACGCAAACTTGTGTCCTTTGGGTATTGAACTTGATTAAATTTAGTCAACCCCGGTCCGAGACTTTGTTCAACAAAGCCTCAACTTCAAAAACAAGTTTGTCCCGGTACTCGGCGACGTTTTCCCGAGTAATATTGGCGTCGATGGTGTATAAAGAATCACCAGTGCTCTTGTCCGCATAACAACTGGTGATCCAATTGCACAATTTCTCGGGAAGCCCATAGGAAGGAAGCTTCGTAATAAGCGCTTTGTGTCAAACCCAATCGAAAGCCTAATTCCAAACTAACGGCCAACACCTGCCCCTTGGACTCTACTACCTCCGCCCATTTATGAGTTAGGTAACCCAGAAGACTGAACGACCCCGGAGGAAACCGCACTGGCGGTCACTAATCAACTGATGATCCTTTAGGTACCTCATGAGCTAGCAGTTTATAATGGATTCCATTATTTTGGAGAACAAGGGAGGTGATAGAGATAGGCCTGTAGTTAGATGGATCTGAACGGTCGCCTTTTTAGGGATCGGGTGCACTAAAGCGGTCTTCCAGGATTTCGGGAATATGCCCTAGAGAGTAAGAGTACCAGAAAAGACGCGTTAAAACCGGTGCCAACTCTGGAGCACACGTTTTCAGCACAATAAGAGGGACGCCATCAAGCCTGCTCGACGTGTTGACGTCCAGGAAGAGGAGTACACTGCGCACCGAGCGCTGGGCAAACAGCACAACCTGTATGGAGCACTCACACCGCGGGATGGTCGGCGATGTGGCAAGAGTCGAGTTGGACGCAAAGACAGAGTCCAGCAGATCCGCTTTGTCCTTTGCGGCATGAGCCAGTGAGTCGTCTTCCCTGTGCAAAGTTGGGAGAGTTGGTTAACAGAAGTTCCCTTGGGCAGTCTTGGCGAGAGACCAGAATGCACGTGTTCCCGAAGAAAGTCGAACTAGTTTTACACTTTTAAAGGTCATGGAGGTGGAATTATAATTATTTTTAAGAACGCTGGTATTTGCATCCCGAGACATCGATGCGTCAACCCAGAGCCAAGAGATATTACAGTCCACGTGATGGTAAGTGGCTCCTAAAGTCCATGCACACCTGCACATACCTGCACATGCATTGTCACCTCTGAGGACTAAAATGGAAAGAAGTTTGCCGAGCTAGTTAGTTGACTTATAATTATCGCACCTTATGTTATTTCTCTTATGATTAACTGTATCTAGGTCGTAATCGAAGCCGATTACGAAAACGAACTGAATGGGTAAATCACTATTTCTTCTTACAAAACGAAAGAGATAATCGAGGTTGTCGTATACTATTATACGACAAGAGATATTACAGTCCACGTGATGGTAAGTGGCTCCTAAAGTCCATGCACACCTGCACATACCTGCATTGTCACCTCTGAGGACTAAAATGGAAAGCCTTAGAATTTCATTAAGTGGTTATCTTATTAGAGTTATATATTTCGAACTTTGTAATATAGTTATGTATATAACTTTAAAGGATTTAATAAGGCCGTTAATCCATAATCTGCTTAAAACTAATAATACGAAATAATTATACGGAATTGTGTGCCTTTAAAAGTATTTGTTACTTTTTAAAGAATAAAGTCCACTATATATTTATACGCACTTACATGTTTTATTAGCACTAGTGATATTTTTTATAAGCTATACCTTTAAAACGAAATATTTGCGGTATAATTATAATTAGATAACTAGACCTAGAAATAAAAGCAACTGGAGATCTTTATATTGAATAATACATATATAAACCATTCACACTTAAGTTACAGTTCAAATATCTAGTTACAGTCCACTGCTGAACTCAGGCGTTACGTTTCTGAGACGATTATGTGGGTCTGTAAGAGTAATGTCTTCGAAACATTTTTAACTTCTCTATGCAGGTTTCTTTGTTTTTTTCCTCAGCAAGTGACAAGAACGCTGGTGCAACTTACATAGAAGAAATTATACGTACGAAACGGAAGCAAAATTTAATGTCAGATATCTCTTCTCTCTACTTTTTTTGTAATATGTCTATCAATGTTATTGTCAAACCAAATAGGTTCAAATGTCAAATCAAAAGTTTATATTGATTTTAATTATTTAGAATGCTTTTAATTTTGCTATCGGAACAGTTGTACATTTTCAGAATTGTTAAAAAATCAAATATGTATTATCAAACTTGCCAATCAAATGATGTAATAAGTTAAGAAAATAATATATATATATATATATATATATATATATATATATATATATATATATATATATATATATAAACACTCACGCCTGTCACCCAGAGGGGTAGGCAGAGACTACGGACTTCCATTTGGCACGATCCTGACATACCTCTTTCGCCTCCTTTACATCCATATATCTACGCATACATGCTCGTCAGTTAAGGGTACTTCTAACGTGGCCCATTTTCAAAATATCGCCAATTTGGTCGATAAATTTTTTTCTAGGGCGTCCCTTCCCGACTCGGCCGTTCACATCTGCCATATAAATTTGCTTTGTCACTCTTTCCTCATTCATTCTTTCACATGACCAAACCACCGAAGCATTCCTTTCTTAATCCTGGTCACAACATCATCTTGCATACCACATTTATCTCTTATCACGCAATTTCTCACCCTGTCATTCAAATTCAACCCTAGTATATTCCTTAAAGACCGCATTTCTACAGCATTTATTCTACTTTCGTGCTTCTTCTGCCACACCCAGCTTTCACTACCATACACTAAGGTAGGGACTAACACAGCATTATGAATTACCATACGTACCTTTTTTGACACATTCCGGTTCTTCATAATAGAGTGTAGTGCCCCATTCACTCTATTCCCTGCATTTACTCGTCGTTCTATATCCTTATCATATCTACCATCCCTGCTAAATACACATCCCAAATACACAAACTCATCCACTTGCTCAATTAACTCCCCTTCTATTCTTATTTCACATACCGTTTTGCTTTGCTCTCTTTCAAAAACCATCACTTTCGTCTTACTTGCGTTCACCTTCATTCCCCTTTCTTTTAATTCCCAGTTCATTAATGTAACCATCATTTGCAACTCAGCCGCCGATGACGCAAATATGACTTGATCATCGGCATACAAAAGGCATTTGACGGTTAACTCGCCCATTCTTAACCCACATTCTTCATCTTTCAAAGTTTGCAAACACCTGTCCATAAATAGGTTGAACAGCCAAGGGAAAGCTACACAGCCCTGTCTGACACCTTTTTGGATGCCAAACCAGTCCGAGTAGACCCCATTAATCCTGACACAAGCACTAGAGTCCCAATAAAGAGACCTTAATGCCTGTATCAAACCAGCGCTCAACCCATATGAGTTCAGTGTTTGCCATAACACATTCCTGTCCACTCTGTCAGTTTCCAAGTCCATGAACGCACAAAAAACTTTCTGGTTTTTGGCCAAAAACTTCTCCGCAATCATGCGCATGGAAAAGACTTGATCTGTACACCCCATTCCCTTTCTAAAACCCGATCCCAAAATTTTCCATCAGTTTCTTTCATAACTCTTTCAATTAACACCTTAGCATACAGTTTACCCACAATACTAAGCAAGCTGATACCACGGTAGTTTTTGCAGTCCTGCTGTGACCCTTTTCCTTTATATATTGGTACTATAACTGCTTTACACCAGTCATCCGGTACCCGTTTTAATTCCCAACATAAATTAAACAAGGTGTACAGCAGGCCTGCCACCACTCCCTCTCCAGCCCTTAGCATCTCGAGTGATACTCTATCATATCCAGCTGCCTTACCTGCTTTCATGCTTTTTTTCATTATTTCATCTACACTTATCTCCATACCCCTTTCCACTACTTTCGGAATTTCTAGTTCATTTAATTCAGACGACTCTTCACTCATAAACACGCCTTCAAAGTATTCCTTCCGTCTGTTTAAATTTGAAACTTCATCATTCAGGATACATCCATTCTCGTCTCTTATAGCATTAATTATAGACTGTTTTGTATTTCCCCTGGCAGTTCTTACGAGTTTCCAGAACATTTTTATGTTAGCTTGGAAATTATCAGATATCCTTCTATCATTCTTATCCGTTCTTTCTTTCTTTTTCCTTTCAACAACTTCTTTTACTCTCTTATTTAGACGTCTAAATTCTGCCTTTTTTCTTTCGATCACATCATTCATACCAGAAGAATTACCAGCTTTGATTGCTAGTAAATCTAACCATGCTTTCTTCTTTGATTCGACTTCCACCCGCACCTCATCATCCCACCACAACGTATTATTTTCCTTTCATTTGTTCTCTTACTTACACCACATACTTCGGTGACGGCATCCACCAAACCTTTCTTAACATTATCCCACACAGTATTCAAGTCTAAATCATTCATACACAACTCATTCAAACATCTAATATTTTCTCTCAGTCTACATTTATACTTCTCTTTCACATCTTCATCTTGTAACTTCTCTATTCTTATACGCTGTAACGCAGTGGTAGACACAGATGTCCGATACCGCCAACGCTTGAAAAGACCATTAATTCGACATAAGAGCAAGTAATGATCCGTCCCTACGTTGGCCCCCCGGTAAACCCTTGTATCTACGACTGCGCTCCTCATTCTTTCATCCACAATTACGAAATCTATCATGCTTCTATCATCACCTCTTTCCCATGTATACATGTGAATCTTCTTATGACGAAAAAAGTATTCGTCACAAAAAGATTCTTTTCCACACATACGGTGAGGAGGTCTTCACCATTCTCATTTATACTTTCATCACCAAACGTTCCCAATATCTTTCATAACCAGACCTCTTCATCCCAACCCTTCCATTAAAGTCTCCTAACATAATAATATTTTCATTTTCCTTACATTTTGTCAACACCATCCTTAGCATGTCCCAAAACTGCTCTCGGATGCAAGTGGGCTTAGACATGTCTAGGACGTACACCCCTAGCAGGAACAGCTTCTTTAAGCCCCACTTTCATTCGTATCCATAGCAGCCTCGGGCTTACACATTCATACTCTTTCACACATTGACCCATTCTTTCTGAAAGGATGAAACCGACTCCCTGGCACGCCCGTTCGGTCTCGCCTACACCAGACCAATACGCGGTATACGTGCCATGTGCAGTGGCATCCTTTCCCTTTCGTTTCGTCTCATTCACACATAACACATCTATTCCTCTGTCATTCATCATTTCGCATACTTCATCCATCTTATCATTCATTCCTCCACATACATTCAGCGTAGCCAGACGGGTTTCCGCAATCCACTTTTAAGAAAATAACATGAAAAGGCTTATTCATAGCAATATTTCCCTTAGAACCTTAGATGATGAATGTTATATGATGATTTTAACATTAATTGTAAGATGACATTTAACGCGAATACATTTTTGAACTTTTATTAATTTGTAGTAATGTCCTCCAAACCGAATTTCTAACACGGACGCTAGTAGGTATCACTGGAGACTAGTCATCAATGTAGGACAGGTTTTTATAGTGTACGATAGTGTGCACAAATACAACCGCACTTCATTTTTTAACACTGATAGTTCGATGGGATGGCAATCCGAAACGAGCTATACTTAGAAACTCTATTATTAATTGTGAGTGCTTACATTCCATTTGTTCAATACAAATTGTACACACTATTTGTTAAAAATTAAATGTCATGTCTTGATGTTGGTAGAGTAGCTTGGCGCCCTTTCATACAGTTACCTTTAATAAGGAAGTCCCGCCTCTTTAATGTAGTGATTTTATTCTCTTTGGTGGTAAGCATTTAAAATTGCTATTAACAAATTTATTGGTGCTGGCAGGGATCGGATCTGGGTTGCTCAGCTATTACGAAACCGGCGAGCGTCTAGCTCCTAACTACCACACCACATCGTGGTTTTCTAAACTAACCGCACTTATATGTATAAAGTTCTTATCTAAAACATGATATTACTGACCTGTGGTTGTGACGGTGACCGTATATTTGACGCAGTATTCAATCCACTGGGTCCCGGCATGGGGCTGGGAAGATGTCTGAAGAAAGACCTTATTATGAAATATCGATTGCTTTGTATGATAAAGAAAACCGAGGACAAATCCCATTTAATGGAAAAATCGTCACCTGAACACACAACATTACAAATTTCATTCTTACACTAGTGTTCTTCTGAGTATAAAACAATGCTATCATGAGTAAGATGCATCTCAGTAAGTTAACAATAATCAAAGAACTCTTTGTCGTACATATGCATTCTGATGCGACTATTTCGAGTTTGCTAATGCCGCTACGCTGTTAAGCTTGTGACGTCACCGTCCTAGGATTTTTCCGATTTTGCAAAGGAATAAGACGTTTTTGGATGTTTAAGACCTTTATCATTAGTGTGTTGTGCCTTAATGCAAAAATGCGAGCATACGAGCGCCGGGGAAGTTATGGTTTCAAATGCCCTAATATGTTTTTTACAAAAACTAGACTTTACTTCTGTGAAGATCATTTTGATGTATGACTTATATTTAACTATTGTTTATACAAAACAAAACATCATGAGTACCGTGTGTTATAGCGTATTGTAAGACCTCAAAGTAAAGTTTGTGGATACAGATATAAAATTAAGATTGAAAGTCGGTATAGCGCCCAGTCTTGTCGTTCATCGTAGGAATAAAACACTGTATTGCACGATTCTCACAACGTAAGATCTAAAACGTATGCCCAGAGCCTAAGCAACACACACTAAAAAAATGGAAGAGACTTGTACATATAAATTGAATATGATGGCTGCAGCATTATTCATTACTCCATATTTGACGCCATTATTGACGACACCTTCAAATTTAATTTATACATGTACAAAGAAGATTGAATATATAAATCTTTATGAATTACCTAGGACTGGGCTGCGAGGCTGGGCTGTGTGCCGGTGGTGGGGGCGGCGGTGGAGGGGCGGGACTGACGCTCGAGAAATGTGACGTTGGAGGTTCCTCGGTTTTGGCCTGTAATTAGAATTTTATAAATACCTTCTACAACTTAAAACACGACGAGTTAACAATAAATCAATCATCACATTTTATTAAATACATCATATCATTTTATTTGCATAGCAATATCTAGAGAATGTTTACTGAGCACTCCGGTATCTGGTATAATTTGCGACTTTGATTTCATGCTTACCATTTATTATTAATTATACATTGAGTAGAAGTAATGATATAATATGGCATTCTGTATATAACAATATAATCAGTGTCAATATGTCGGTCAAACAGCGTTAATGGCTGAAGACAGTCAATAATTTTAATTTTTAAGTCTGAAACTTCGGTCAATATGTAATTATTTGTCAGATTCAACTGGGCTGGGCGGCGTTCGGGAAATTACGACACATCTTCTCGTCACGTATCACATAAAAACTTGAAAAAAAAAGAGTGTGAAACCAGTGTATATATGGCTCCTAGACGTGGTTTTTCACTGCTTTCCATATGAAGAAGCTTAAGGTACTCAGCGAACTATGGTAGGATTGTGATTGAAGTTTCTGCGCCTGATAGAATTCATTATGATAGAATATCCGCAGTAGAACTATAGTTATTGACATAGCCCAACGATTCAGAAGCTGATTTTGTAATGAACTGGCCATGTAGCTCGAAGAACCAACAACCAATGGGGAAGAAAATTTCTCGAGTGGCGTACCGATAAGCGAAATATAGGACATAAAGATAGAGTGACGATCCGGTAAGAGATGTCGGATGTCGATGGATGTAGATGGCTCAGGACCAAGTTTTGTGGCATTGAGAAAGGCCTATGCTCAGTAGTGGATTCGTGAAGGTCTGTGATAATAATATCTAAATTAGCTAAACATTAAGAAATCATAGTCATATCACAGTTTAAAGAGAGTCTAACAGTTGGTAAACGAATGTACTTATGCAGAACAACGGCGGGGGCCTTACTGGGCAGGGGGCGGCGAGACCTTGTGCCAGCGCACTCCACTAAGTCTGTTGTACAATACATGCGGTTGGCGCGAGCGTGTTTATAGTACTTATTTAACTCATTTTAAGTGCCGTTTTCGAAAAATATAATATCTATAATAGTTAATTACTGTTATAGTCTTAGAATGTAGAAAAAACCAGACGCAGCGAACGCGCTTAAAACTGAGGCAACAAAAACCTTATATAGTGTAGTTTCGCGTTCAAGCGAATAGTCACTCAAAAAACGTCGAATAGCGTGACGTATTTTACCAGTGTCAAATTAAATTAAATTATGCCGATTTGTGACATCTCTGCCTGTAAAAAAGCTGAGATGGGATCACTTTTCATGTGCAAGTAGCGCATTCAGATATCGTTTTATTTATGAATTGAATTATTTGTTCTGTTCGTAATTGTATTGAAGAATGATGGGTCCATCTTGTTATTGTAGCCAATATACCAGTTTTGTTTTTCCCTACAATTAATTATTAAGAGACAAGTTATTTGTGATTAAACAACATTAATTTAGTTTATCAAAAACTATTTAACTGCTTTCTTATATTACCGTAAATGTTTTATTGTTAATTTTAATCACTAATAACATTAGTAGTTATAGTATCGAACGCAACTTCAATATAAAATATATGTGTAGATATTACTTTGATATATATATATATATATATATATATATATATATATATATATATATATATATACATATATATAAATACATAATGACTATATTTAAAAAGCTTTCCCATAAAAAAAGGAAATTGAATGTTTATGCACCATACTGAAACCGTATTTTATATAAGCAATATTACGCGATGGGGAAGTGGGACGGGCGCGGGACGTTTGTCTTGTTTTTGGACAGATGCGGCATGTAATTACAGCTGAACGCGGCATCTGGTTTTGTTCTATATTCCGAGATTATAGTTATATGAGTTACTACTAAGTAAAATTGAATTCAAATGATGGCCATGCTTATGTTTCTCTCATTTTTGAAGTAAAACTTCTTTACACACGCTTGAGTTGGGAAGTAAGCTGGCGAACGCGTGACGAAAGCGTTACGAAAAGTGTGATCGGGCGAGGCGAACGGAAATTGAGTGGGCGATATAAGCAAAAGAGAGCAATACGCGCGCGCATTTTCTTTCTGTCTTTCTCTCATAGCCAGTTATTTTTCGTAATTTTATCTCGATATGAACAATTTTATGAATTAATGTTTTGTTCAATACATTAAGAATTCTACGTTTAAAAGTGAACATAATTGTAAATTCATTTTAAAGTTCATGTTTTGTGAATTTTCGGGTGAATAATAACAATTATGAAAGGAAGCCTAGATTAGTAGATAGAAGTAAATTTAAATATTTATTAATCGCAAAAATAAACTGTATATATATACAGATGGAGCTAAAGAAGTTTTACTTTCAGCGTGTGGTCGCACGCTCGTTTTTTTTTTTTTTTTTTGGTAAAAATTTGTATCTGAATGTGAATTACACTACATAATTAAATTTAACAATAGAAAACTGAAAACATCTATAAAAATAAAGTATCACGAAAATATTTGGAAATGTATTTTTTCTTATAGAAATGAAAAATAATCCTGTTCAATATTTTCTTTAACTTATAAATATGTACACAATGTTAATAAATGATAATGAGTATTATTATATCCAAAATTATTTTATTCCCAATTTCGTGACAACTCCTAGCATAATCGCAGCTCGTGTAAATACCTACGCAGGCGGTGGCATCGCCTGACATCAAAGACATTTCACAAATTTACCTCTTTAAACTGTCGTCATATATAATTAAATAAAAAAAAAACCGCCGTTAGTGAAAAATACCTTATTATGTATAGGTTAAGTGAATATAATATTCAAATTTCAATCTTTGATTTAAATAAACTACCTATTACAGTCGACTATTAATGTCGCATAAACAAAATCGTGAACAAAATCGATAATACGTATAAATACTAAAACGTAGCAAACGCACTAACGCACAGACAAAGTACTCTTTTATTTAAATTGCGAAACCAACCTTTTTAACAACTTTGTCTATGGCGTCCATTTGTACGTCGCTTGGCTGATGGCCACTCTCCCACACTTGGCTGCCGGTTTGAGAGTTCACGTCGTTTGCCTGAATAAAATACAACGGAAAAACATGTTGCTGTTACCGATATATATTATGTTGCTCTAGTTTAGTTCTACGACAACATGGTAACATACACACACTAAAAAAGTTTGTGGTCACTAGCAAAAGCAGATATATTTTTAAAATTTAACAGATATTAATATTTAATTCGCAACCATCCGCTTAATTAAAGACAATGATGTGTCTTACCTGGACTGAAGAGCACCTCCCGCCCTCCCTCAATTGCATGCACTAATCCCGTCACCACTAGTCCGAGCACTACCATTACAAACACCACTACTCCCGGCACCACTTCTCTCAACACCACTATTCCAGGACAGACACACCATCGAGGATAACTCTAGTCCTAGTTGACCTAGTTGACCGCTAAGTCAACTTAAGAACTTAGCCGCCAGGTTAGCCGCCGTAGAGTTTACATCACCTGAAGATGTCTCGTGTAGAGGCGAAACACGTGTCTTGTGCCGATGGTGTGTTTGTCCTGGAATAATGGCGTTGAGAGTAGTGGTGCCGGAAGTAGTGGTGTTGGAGTAGTGGTGCTGGGACTAGTGGTGACGGGATTAGTGCATGCAATTGAGGGAGGGCGGGAGGTGCTCTTCAATCCAGATAAGACACATCATTGTATTTAATTAAGCGGATGGTTGCAAATTAAATATTAATATCTTTATTATAATGAATTTCCGCAAAGTAACGCCTGATTCTATCAATTATTTTAAAATTTAACTTAATCAACAAAATGTGTTTAGTTTATATCTATTTTTAAATACACTGTTTGAAACTAAAAAATAATATTTTTTTATAACTAAAATTGAGTACTTTAATCCTAATTAAATTGTAACAGAAATTTAATGGTAAGAAAAAGGTTGTTTAACTAAACTTATACAACAATTAATAATAGAAGGTTCTTATTTAATACAACTCCTCCCCTGGCTCGAACACATGTACTCGTAGCATACTGAGGATCAAGTTATAAAGCATTTCTTGCGGTAACCTGTCCTAAACTTGAATAGCGGATTCACTGTCTGGGGAGGTGGTTGACGGTTCCGCGCGTGCGTTATTATTGCTTTATTGGGTTTAAGGCAGGCGAGCCGGCAGGTCAGTCTAACTTTGTGATGTCGTATTCTCGGAGAGCAGCATTGACACGTTGAGCTCGATGTGCGGGAGCATTATCATCGACCAGTACGATTTGGTGCCCGTGGTTTACTCGGATCGGTCTGAAAATTTCATCAATACGAGGGTCACACTGAAATGATCGGGAATAAGAAAAACCACATGTATGGTATAGCTAAATTGTATTTTATTGTTTTTCGATGTATTCTCCGTTCAACTTAATGCACTTTTCCATTCGTGCAAACCGATCATTAAAACAGTAATTCCAGTCTGAAGTTGATGTTGACAAAATGGCTGATTTGTACGCTTTCACAGCTGCTTCGGGGTCTTCAAACCGTTGACCGCGTATTAAATCTTTCATTCTAGGGAATGTAAAGAAATCGTTTGGGCTCATATCAGAAATTTACGGAGGATGGCTCATCAGCTCAACGTATTCCTGCTTCAAAAAGTCATTTGTCTTGTATAGTACGGCTATCATTGCTGGCAAACAAACCGTGATATACCACTCAGCGGTAACCGTTCTGCGTTCCTGTAAAGGAATTTTAGCAACAAGCCCCTTTTTCGAGACAAACGTACCGACCATTTTCTTTGACTCGCCGCGGGAGCGAACCACTTTCGTTGGTTCGACCTCTCGAAGACCCAAACTGCTGACTAATGTTTTCTTTCAGGTTCGTATGAATAAATCCGTGATTCGTCACCTGAGACGATATTATAAAGGCATTTGACTTCACTCCGTTGAAGCGTTGCAGCTCTTGTTGCTCTTCGAACAAATTGTGGGGAACCCAGCGGGAAACTAGCTTTCTTACACGCAGCTCATTATGTAATATCGACTGAATTGCAGTCGTTACGATACTGATAACAGCCCGAATTTGCTCGTATGTCACATGATGGTCATCTAATATAATAAGTTCGCACAGCTGCGATGTTTTCAGGCGTGACCGCTGTTCTAGGCCGACCTGCAGAAGAAACAGTGCTGAGCGACACACGACCGCCTCCGACCGTCTCCGCCGTTTGACTCAGTGCTTCAACATCATAAATCGAAACAAGTTCGCTGAGACATTTATCTTGAGATAAGCCGCGACGAAAATTGTGATAAATTATGGCACGGAAATGTTCACGAGTGAGCTCCATTTCTGATTTAACGATTCTGTCACTTTAAACCAACATAGTTTTTGTTTTCAAACATTTTTTTTAATTGTTCGAATGTCATTAAGATTCTAAGAGGCCAGTATTAAATTCTAAAAAAGGTTTTATTGTAACTCAATCCGAAATATTCTATTCCCGAACATTTCAGTGTGCCCTAGTAGCGACTGTTGTATAGCTATCTGCCGTCATGGAGCCTCGACACGGTATCAAAGACGTTCTAGCTCCAGTCTTAATTCCACCGCAAAAGGACACCGACTTCCCATCTTGCTAAACGGTTCCAGTGGCAGTTCTTTGCCTTTCAGAGTCTCCAGGTCTTCTCCAGAAACGGACACGTTGGCTATCTGGATGAGTACTGATTCGCGAGTCGTCAACGAAGAGACAGTTTTGCCAAATGTTTTCCTCCTCATCTTCTTCATTTTGCTGAAGCCTAGCCCACGTCGCTGACGTTGCCATGCGTTCAGAGGTTCTCACCGAGACCTACGCGCTAGTAGCCCAACCCGGTGTAAGCAATTTCGAATGGCCTGAGTGCTAACTTCAAGTTCAGAGGCGGCCTGAACTTTTGCTTTTATTGTAGTGTTGATTGTTGAAATATTGTAGTGTTGAGCAATCTGATATGGGGCTTCTGAGCAACAGTCAGTTGGGCAACCGCTGCAGGCTCGGTCAGCTAAATTATCCATGCCGTGGTACCCCTGCAACGAGGCCACGACTCAGGACAGCAACTCTGTACTATTTCACTCGTGGAATATATTTCTCTCCTTAAAGTTACAATAATTGGTCGTAAAACTTCTGATAATCCTATTGACATTTTTTTAATCGCAACTTACCTCGTAAAAATAATTTAATTCCTTTAAAATAGACTAAAAGTCAGATTTCTGAACGAGCTTAGGCTTTAATTGAATTTCTTTTATATGGAAACACAATTGAATTTGTTTTATTATTTTATATTCTAAGTCTATATTTTTAAGTAACGAATCTAAAAAGAAGAAGAAATTATCATAAAGTCTATGGTAACAAAAAAGATTTCTATTTTTCATACTGATCGCACACTATTTTTAATGTGTATAGATATAGTGAAGACTCCGTTAAGCGTTGCAATTACATCACAATATTAGTGAAAAGACACGTACTAAACTATATAAAATCATGATACAATTTTTTTCCGGCTAAGGTCAAGGTTCACACAAAACTTCGATTTAAGTCAATTAGGAGAATGTTCGATCCAAAACAAATTTCTAAACCTAGTCCAAATATGTTACGTACGTCTCTCTAGAAATAATTTTCGCATTCAGTTTTCTGCTTGTATAATAATTTGTATTACATTTGCTGCTAGGTTATTAGAGATTCAACGCTTGGCATTCAGGTTAGTGCTCGGTTCACCACATTCCTTACATTTGATTCAGTAGATAGGTAATTTATTCATAATAGATTTTATAATAAGGGGAGGACCTATTTTTCGCAGTCTCCTTTTAGAGTGTATGAATATATACAATATAAAAGTATAAAACAATTTCCCTTAATCAATAATAAAACAGAAAATACCAAACATAAGACTAAGCTGTACTCCACAATTAGTATAAACGGTGTTATGTAAGCGAAATAACTTTTACCTGCCTAGCTTACCGAGAACATTTACTGGTAATCTCGGAAAGCTATGTAGTTACAGTGCAGTGACTTTACAACGAAAAATGATAACTATGTCACTAGGCTAACCTATCCTTGAATCGTAGAGTACAAGCGTTTATTGAAAACCTTCTTTAAAACTCACCACGGTATGCGGAGGAGTAGCGACGTAATCCACGGGCGTACTAGGCGTATTTGCAGAAACGGCTTTGCGTTTCTTCGTCTGTTTAGTATCTACCGACTCCGTGTTAGTTATCACGGATTCTTGATACGTTGGCGCTTTGGAGGTTGGTGTTTGCACTATCGATGTGTTCACTGTTGTGCTGCAAACAAATAAAAGGTATTATTTGGCTATTAAGTAGAATTGCAACATTGGCAATGAAACTGCCAATACTTTGACATAATTAGCATAGACCTCCGGGACCATACTTTCTAGAACGTGACTGACACTCGTGAACTTTGTTCCCCATTAGTTGTCTATTAGAGCAAAATAGCTGGTATTACCACTACATTAAACTGATCCGCTGTGCTACTCTTGTTCTTCTGTGAAAGTCAACGTCACGAATTTTATTAAGCAGAGAATCTCCAAGCACAATCTTCTTCTATAGTTCCACGAGTGACATCTAATTCTGTTCTTGATACAAATATCTTTAACGAACTTAAACAAAACGTTCCTAACAACTACCAGTATAGGAATAATGTTAGGCATAATTGTCTTGTCCCTATTCATTTTGAGCTCTATCCGCTGAATGACACTATAGAGGTCATTGAGCATAGTTGAAGGTCTTTCAGGGATTACGCCGTAATAAATATATCGTCGGCAAATCAAAGGTGAGCGATGTAATCGTCATTAATGTTAAAATCGTATGATTTTCTTTAAAAAGACTTCTACAATACTAAGTTTCTACAATAAGCAAAGCGGTAGAGTTTCGGATATATAATGTTATAGTTTTACATCCCTCTGCGGTTCGATAGGTTTTGTACTCTGAAAATTTAACTCAGATATAAATCGTTAACTAGGGGCTAAAATGTTTGTAAAAACCTTACTATACAAACATTTTAGCTCCTAGTAGCTAGAACCGCCATTGGTATTTTAGCCCAAATTTCGATAGTACCAAACACTTTCATGATCACATAAGCCAGACATAACCGCAAATTACACTCTTCATAATCTGCTGAAGGGTAAATGGGCGGTCTATGTTAAAGCATTTTCGAACACCGCCTTGTTCGGGAAGCCAGAATTTGTCGAGCCTAAGTGCGAGACCTCGCCTCAAAAATCAGCCTCGAAAACTGACGAACAGTTAAATCAATCAATCTATCTCATTTTATTTCAAGAAGTCTAAAAGTTGATTGTCAAGTTTTGCTGCGGCTGGTCTTGCCATATTTAACTCCGACCGCACGTACAGTTGCCACGAAGTTATCACTGATATTATCCACCGTGTAACAATCATCAAAGTATCTCATAAATCATTAAATCGATCAAAGATATCTGTTCAATTTCTTTCGGAAATAACACTGAACCTATAATTGCTTCTCAAAAATATATTATTAACATAATGAAGAAAGCATCAAAAATAAGTTTTAAATCGTAATATTTCAACAATTAACGTTACAAAAGTGGAAAGAATTATTGATGTTTACAGATACGTTAGATATCATAAGTGGCACCTAATAAAATTTTAGAAATATATTGTAGTCGCCGTCGAATTTCGCTATAACTTACTGTTCGAGACTAAATTAAAAGGTCATTTAGATAAGTATAAATGAAATTTAATAAAACAATATTTGTTGTAAATCTAAAAGCGATAATTTCTAAAAATGGTAACTAACCTGGTGGTAGGCCCAGAGCTAGCAGATACCGAAGCGCTCGCGGAAGCAACGGAGCTGATGACGCCGACTGACTCTAATGATTTATTCGAATTGGGCGACGCGGCGGGAACCGGCACCTTTGCACTGCTGCTCGGTGTAGATCCGCCTGATGCTATTAAATAAAATTATTTTTCTTAAAGTTTTAAGGGTATAGATATAGAAAGGTAATGAATGACCTACAACATGCGACATTTATGTGGTAGAACCAGCCTGCAGATGTACAATAGCTGCAGCGCGAATGGGTTAGCTCGACCGGGGAAGCACCACACTTTGTATAATGAATGATGAAAACCGGGAATCCTAATGGTAACAAGGCATTCCATTTTAGTCCTCAGGGAAGATAACATCGGCATTTTGATTCATTATCAGGAATAGGTAACTATGGATCAAAGCATCCACTTAACATCTGGCAGACTGTGTGCAATTACCATAAAATCTGTACAGTAAAATTTTTATTAAAAAAATATCTAAGCCATAATACGTATACATAATATATCTCAAATGTAAAATTCAAATAATTTACTGCACAAAAATGTAGTCACATAGGTTTCTAGAAATTATAACAAATATTGTAAAATTATCGTATTTATTTGCTTTTTTAAAACTTAAATGTAACACCTTAAAACTAAGGGTACATGGATCCGACCATAGAATACTATAATACATAATATACAATAGAACGGAGGAGTAGGTGGAGCCCGTGTAACTACTAAAATGTCACTAACATGTCAATTCACGCGTATAACTGTCAATAGGAGATTTGTTTTGACGTTACAATCGTTTCCAAATTTCGCATGCAAATTATTTAGAAAATGCCAAATTGCACCCTATTTACAAATAAATATGTATTAAAATTTAAAAGATTTTTTTAATGATGATCTTGAACATTAATCAAAAGTCTAAAATGTTTAAATTTACTCAGTCTGTCAACACAGCGAATCGGGTTTGTAGTAGTGATAATACGACGTAATTGCTTATATGTGTGTTCCCGGCGACGCCGACCCCCGTACAAAATAAGGTTGAATGCCATTCTATTGTGTATTATAGTATTCTATGGGTCTGACTTAATTAATGCCATGTGACATTCATTGCCAGTCAATCCTGGGTGTTAAAGATAAATATTAGAAAGTATAAAATACCTAAATATATATTAAACAACTAAATATAAAATTCTATATAAATCTATGAATAATATATATTATAATATTTATATATTATAATATTTATATATACCTATTTTACATAAATACAAATACTTATATGAAGAAAAATAAAATATGTTGAGTACGTTATCACTGATCCTTCTGAACTAGAGGTCTACATCGAAACCGATAGTTGTTTCAGAGTCCGCAGGTCAGATATATCACCTTTACCGCCAGCAGGCTGAGCAGGCTCTGGTGCCGTGTGTTGAGGTGATGGCGCCGGCGTACTGCCTTTACTCCCAGAGCCACTAGCGTCTCCAGCAGACGATCCTCGACGAGACGGCGACGGCTTCTTTTTGTCTGACGAGTGATGCAATTTTCCGCCTATTATTATTAGCATCTTCATGATTTTGTTAAATGTTCTCCAACATACAAGCTAAGTGTGAAATAAGGTTCAAAAAATTACCAAGTTATTGAATATAATTAATTATAGCTATCTTGCTTTATGTTTTATGCACACATGAAACTATTAGTAAAACATACCCTCTATAACTTGCCATATTCTTAGGAGTAAAAGGTACAATTATCAGCTATTATATATGATGCGCATATAAATACTATGAGACCGACATAGCCTAACTGATCAGTAAGTTAAAGTGACAATGGGGAGTTGTGTATCGCCAGCAACGCAAAATCAGGAAGTGTAAATTCCTGTGTTGCTGGGCGAGACACAACTGAAATGGGGAGACCATTTAGTTCGAAATACCAGCAACCGATAGGGAAGAAATGCTCTCGAGTGGCAGCCTCGTACCGGTAAGCGAAGTGTAGTGCGGCCCCCATCCCCCCACTAAACAGGTAACATTAACTGTAACGAATTCATGCAAAAAAAAAAGGAATCTTTACATAATTGCAAGGAACAAATAAGATAACCTTTGTATCATCATCATCATCATCATTACAGCCCTTCACAAGTCCACTGCTGAACATAGGCCTCCCCCAAGTAATGCCACAAAGCACGGTCCTGAGCCACCTGCATCCATCGACTTCCTGCATGTCTTACCAGGTCGTCACTCCATCTAGTGGGGGGTCGCCCTACACTACGCCTACCGGTACGAGGCTGCCACTCGAGAACCTTTCTTCCCCATCGGTTATCGGTTCTTCGAGCTATATGGCCGGCCCATTGCCACTTCAGCTTACTAATCCGTTGGGCTATGTCGGTCACTCTGGTTTTACTGCGGATATCCTCATTTCTGAGTCTATCACGCAGAGAAACTCCGAGCATAGCCCTCTCCATAGCTCGCTGAGCGTCCTCATACGGCCAGCAGTGAAGGACCACGTCTCTGATCCGTAAGTCATCACTGGCAACACGCACTGGTTGTACACTTTACTTTTCAGAGATTGAGGTATACCTGACGAGAAGATGTATCGTAATTTCCCGAACGCTGCCCAGCCGAGTTGAATCCGTCGATTGACCTCTCGGTCGAAATTGGACTTACCTAGTCGAACTATTTGTCCCAGGTAAACGTACTCGTCAACAACTTCGAGCATAGTGCTCCCCACAACTACCGGCATAGGTGTGACATGGACATTGAACATAATCTTTGTTTTGTCCATGTTCATCTTAAGACCTATCCGTTCGGAGACACCATTGAGGTCGTTGAGCATAGTGCTAAGGTCCTCCAGCGATTCTGCCATAAGGACTATATCGTCGGCAAATCGAAGGTGAGTGATGTACTCGCCATTTATGTTAATACCGTATCCTTTCCAGTCCAGTAGCTTGAAAACGTCTTCCAACGCAGCGGTGAAGAGTTTCGGGGATATAACGTCACCCTGTTTTACACCTCTCTGCAGTTGGATAGGTTTCGAACTCTGGTTCTGTATTCGGATAGCCATCGTAGCTCTACTGTACAAACACTTCAGCACCTCGACCGACTATACCGACAGTCAACTTGGCACCGCTGAAGGGACTGTAGCACCGGCCAAATTTCGACGGAATCAAAGGCTTCCTCATAGTCCACATACGCCAGGCAAAGTGGCAGATTGTACTCTTCGGTCTTCTGTACAATCTGCCGCAGGGTATGTATGTGGTCTATGGTACTGAAGCCTTTTCGGAAACCGGCTTGTTCGGAAGGCTGGAAGTCGTCAAGTCTGTGTGCGATACGATTCGTAATGACTCTCGAAAACAGCACGTAGACGCGGCTTAGAAGGGAAATCGGTCTGTAGTTCTTCAAGAGAGCGTTGTCGCCTTTCTTAAAGAACAAGACCACCGCACTTCTGCTCCACACCTCCGGAGTAGTGCCAACATGGAGGACGGAATTGAAGAGCTTCTGAAGGACTTCAAGTACCGGTGTTCCACCCGCTTTCAGAAGCTCCGCTGTAATTCCATCCTCGCCAGGGGCCCTGCCGTTTTTAAGGTGCCGGAGAGCCATTCTAATCTCGCTCAGACTGACGTCCGGGATATCATCGGAATAGTGTCGGGTAAGACTTGCTCTTGTATCGTTACTCACACCTGCGTGTGGCTCCAACGATGATGTGTACAGCTGCCCATAGAACCTCTCAAACTCACTCAAAATCTCAGGTGTCCCGGAAACGATGTTGCCACACTCAGTCTTCAGCTTTGACAGTTGGCTCTTTCTGGCAGACAGATCTCTGGCAAAGACTTTGGAGCCCTGATTCCGCTCGATCGCTTCTTTAATACGAGCAGTATTAAAGTTGCGTAAGTCTTGCCGCATGCATTTGAAGATCTGTCTGTTCAGTTGCTTGTATGCTGTCAAATCTGTTGACGATTGCAGCCTCATCTCCCGTCTAACAGCCATGAGATTAAGAGTGTGATCGGAGAGTTTTTTTGTTCTTCTGCGGCGGGTCTTGCAGAACTTAGCTCCGACCGCATGGACAGTTTCCACGAGCTTGTCATTCATATCGTCCACTGCATTGCAATCTTCTAGGCACTGAAAGCGGTTACGTAACTCGAGCTGAAAAGTCTTGGGATTCTGGATTAGAGCACGAGGGGGACGGAGCGTTGACTTCATTAGACGAGACCTCTCCAACTTAACGTTTAGGTTCAGTGTGCCTCTAACCATTCGGTGATCGCTGCCGGTTTTCACCCTTGCGATTACTGAGACATCACTGAACAGTTGGCGTCTGGTCGTCATAATGAAGTCAATCTCATTTTTTGTTGAACCGTCGGGGCTCGACCAGGTCCACTTCCTGTGGGGCCGCTTCTGGAAGAAAGAGTTCATCATAAAGAGTCCCTCTTTCTCCATAAAGTCAGCCAGCTGCTGGCCCCTACGGTTCCGTTGCCCTACTCCAAATTTCCCTAACTTCAGCTCACCGCCTTCTCTTGTACCTAGTTTTGCGTTGAAGTCTCCCATCAACACCGTGTAGTGGGTTTTGGAGGAATGCATGGCTCTAGAAATATCCTCATACATTTCCTCCACCTCCTCATCGGGATGTGCCGAGGTTGGTGCGTAGACCTGTATGACCTTCAGCGAATACCGTTTGGTGATTCTGAGTATCAGGTACGCGACCCTCGTCGACACACTCCCAATCTTTACAACGTTGTTGACGAGAGACTTGTGGACGATAAATCCGACACCTCCTTGGGACAGATGGTGGCCCTCCCGGTGATAGAACAAGTTGCCGGACTCGAGGATTACCGTGTCCTCCCCTCTCTTCGGATCTCAGATAATCCAATAATATGCCAGCGCAACTTGTCTACCTCTTCTTCCAGCTCCAGTATCTTCTCGTCAGTCCTCAGGGTGCGTGCGTTATACGCTGCCAGGTCGAGTCGTCGTAGGTGTAACCTTTGTATGTTATATGTTATTGAATCCCTTAAATTTCCAAATATTAAGCGGATAAATAATGCAAACTTGATGTCTATAAATATTTTTTAACAAATTATACGGTAATAAAACACAAAAATCAATGAAATACTCATACAGTTATTCAGTGCCACAAAGAGGGACAACTTCTAAACCTAAAATAAAATATATAATAATTTTTTGCTTTAAACTTAATCGCGATGTGCATTTTATTTATTTTAAACAATCACATAAAACATGCGCTTTTTTCTAAAGGCATAATATGCATTAACATGGGCTGAAATTATAATGCAAAATAGCAACTATGTAATACTTTTAACTAAAGTGCACTAATTAAGCTAATGACTGAAACTGACTTTTTTGAAAACTTTGTAAGCTTAAAATTTTGCCAATTTTATATATGGCAGACTAGAAAAAGGTATTGTAACATTAATACGTGCATAACACGTAAAATATAACATGCGATTTCGAAAAGGGAAATGTTCCTGATAAATGCCTTTAATCGTCAAAAACCTGACTTAGGAAGTGATAGAAAATAAAAAGATAATTATCTAAGGATCTGTATTAAAACAGATATTCATTATATTCGACTCACACATCGTGACTGTAGAAATAGTATTATACAGTGCTCGAATCAATAACGTTCATTGAGAAATCGTCTAATTAACACAAAACTCATCTTAGTTCCAAGTTTGTTTTTCACACTCTTTTAGCATTTAGAGTATCATAAAACTAAAACTTCTGATGATATTCTATATATCGAATTTCTAATCGTAGCACGTTATGATTAGGGATGGGCCGAATATTCGTTTCATATTCGGTATTCGGCATATTCGGCAGCTTTACCGAATATTCGTATTCGGCCGAATATTCGGCTAAATCACCGAACGTTTGTTAAAGTGCTACTCAAGGTGTCCACTGTATTGAAATGTACGAATTGAGTAATGCCATGGTCCTTCATAATTTTACTGTTGAAAGTTTATTTTATTTATGAATTAAATCTACTTGTATAGCGTTATGTTTTTTAGGCACTGTAGATTTATTTCCAATTATATTTGCAAATATAATGCTTGATAAAATGTTTTAAGAACCAAACAAAAAAACATTACACTACATTAGTAAATTTCACTTTACTCAGTCTCTCTAAAATAAGTTCAAACAGTAGATCTCCTGCCACTCATTATTATCATATAATTATCAATTTTCACTAAAAATAACAAAACGAAAAGCTTTTTACTCAGAAAAGTAGTCAAAAATAAGCATGTGCCGGCTATTTGCTCAGTACTAGGTGATGCAATAAAATGTCAGGTGTGGCGGGAGAGCGAGGGGCAGGGTCCGGCGCTAATCCCGCGCGCTTTGTGGTAACAAGTTTCGACATAAATTAGATACCGAGATACCGAGATGATCCTGCCGAATAATGTTCGACCGAATATTCGGTTCGGTAACATTTTTAACGAACGTTCGGCCGAATATTCGTATTCGGTGAAATCCATATTCGGCCCATCTCTAGTTATGATATCATAAGAATAACGCACACAGTTTGCTTATATTATATGCAGTGAAATATTTAGAATTTATTTTTAACATGCTTAGTGAAAATTTAATACTCAACGACAAGCATAATAAAAATAATATCATCCTTACAACAATTTGACATCATTTAAAAAAACTTCTGTCTACATACATATATAATAACACTAAATGCACACTTTAACAGACACACACACACACACACACGTACACACTCAAATTTAGCAAGATATGAACACACACGTTTGTCTGTAGTTTTGTGCTTTCGTGCGGCTGGCGTTTGTTCCATTGCTTCCTGACCAGCCTCAGTTGCTAATACTGATGCACAAAAACATCAAAGGTTAGTCACAGAAAAATACGACCGAACATGGTATAAATCGAGAAACCTTAAACACTCATTATTACAGTAAAACACTTCCAAAAGAAACCATAGGATTAAGCAATTTCTCTTGCAAATTTATTACCATCCAAACTTGTAAAAATTAATATTGGCTAATGGTAAAGTTTAGAAGTTTCTCGACAAATCAAATCGAAGAAACGAAAAAAAAAACTACGTTAGGTATATATAGTAGTATAAAGTAGTAATAATTTAATAAAACCTTTCTCCATTTAAAACATTAAAAAGCTTTGAATACAAGCAAAATTACAGAGCGGTTATGACTGCTGAACACAAAAATATATAATTGATTAACCATGTTACCGTGTTTAATACATAAACGCTGGATACTATTTTTCAGAATACTACGTAAGGAGTGTCGTATTTTCATGGGGCGTCGTCCGCTCAGTTTGTGTTTGTGTCTACTGTATGCTGATTTGCTTAATCATAATAAGTAAAACTCGTTTACACTATAGCCCTAGCTACGTCAGATTTATATGTAGGTAAATAAAATAAATAATAAAATAAGTAGGTTCATACATAACTTTTATGGAAAAATCTGTCTCACATGTTTTAATGTAAATTATTCTGGACTTCAAAAACTTTGGTAAAAAAGATCTGAGGTAGCTATTTAAATTTAAAACTAAACGAAAACCTAATTAAATACTTACTATTTTAATTCTACTTTTTAACTTTTTCTAATCGTAATGCAGAGTAGTAACAGACATTTCCAAGAGACCGATATTTCCCGAACGCGATCGAAACAACCATCGGCTGGGCCGATTAATCGGCCATTTCTTAACTGATTAATCGGCTAACGGGCCAATCAGTCAAAGTAATAATCGGCCATATTCTACTTATTTTCGGAAAAGTTCAACCTATTGTGATGGAACTTCACGAATAGGTAGGTACAAAACAAAGCAAAGATTCATCTATACTCTACCAAATCTAAGAAATACCTTTTGAAATTTCACATTAATTATTCGGCAATAACTTTGTACAAGCGTACTCACACGATTTAAAATAACCTTTTACGTAAATAAAAATAATTATGAAGTTATCTATATTTCATTACAACATGTGTAGTTTATCACTAATTTAAGTTCGAACCTTTCAGACAAAGCAAAATATTAAAAAATAAACCAGAATCAACTTTTATGGTTTACGATGTATTAATGATATTCACCTCCTTACCGTAATGTTTGGATGATTCAAATTTATGCTAATGTGAATAATCGGTAAAAATATCCAAATAATAGAACCTATACAATAATTAATTTATTATTTGTTTATTTAAATTTTTAATTTTTGAATTGCCTAAGCAATTATGAGAATCATAATTACCGAAACAATTCCATTTTTTTTTTTCATTTCTGCTCAATGTGGCGAAGTTGCGATCAGTTTAGAAAATGCATGCATGTATAAGAGTTGAATATAGTCATTGAGAACCATTTGAAAAAGAATAGGCTGCCGTGCTCGGCGGTGAAGGAAAACATCGTGAGGAAACCTGCATGTCTGAAGAATAAGAAAAAAAATATTTCGAAGACGTGTGAAGTTCGCCAACACGTATTGGGGCAGCGCGGCGGACACTTCCCTGTCCTAAAACCCTCTCAGAAATGAGGGGATGCCTGTGAGCAGCAGTGGGGCGTATATAGGCTGTAACTTTTTACTATAGGCTGCCGATACCAAAAAAATTACTAACGCAAAATAATTATTTAGAAACGTGAATGCAAACAATAAAAATTTTACGAGAAATTAAAAATACAAGCAATGCCAACCACAGTGTGCCGCAGACGTGGGCAGATGACACGTGCCCGTGGGAAAAGGTGGGCTCCTCATCATTTGTTAAGTGGGATACGCCGGATTAGGACGACTTAGGACATATTTTTATAAAATGCAACTATTACACAAGGGATGACTGGGTCAAAGTAATGGAAAGAAAATTGTTATGAAGGACTATGAGACATTCTTTTTGGATGCGTTACCGAAAATCAAATAATAAGTAATGTAAACGAAGGTAATGACGACGATAGCTCAACCAGTTGGTAGTGAAAGTGATTAAATAAATTTATTTTTAATCTAGTGCAGTCTTTAATTTTAATAACTTTATCTGTAGAAATTAACAGCAAGCAATAAATATGAATAAAAAAACCTGATAAATTTAAAATTTTGTATATTTCTAATTTATTCTGGTATTAATCTAGGTAAAACAGTAAATACTCCCTATCTGTTCGTGAAGTTTCATCACAAACGGCTGAGTCATTCCGAATATTATCTTGGACAGACAGACAGACAAACAAAAATGTAATAAATGGTAATTCATATCATAATGTACATTATAAAATGTGCAAATAACCCTCAGCTCAATATAAGACAGTCATTTCTATATTATAGACAGACACTACAATTTTATTTATATTTTAGGCGTTAAGAGCAATATTTACCCAGTGGTTGCGCTGTACTTGTGGGTGTCTTCGAGGCGTTTGGTGTGTTCTTGCCAGAAATAACGCCACTATTGTGCGAAGATTTTCGTCCCGGCTGTAAGAAAAACAGCAAGCAACTGTGTAACGTTGGTTAAAATACACTATTATTTTGTAAATTTTCATTTCTATTATATATAATGATAACTCCATAGTATACAAGCGGAATTACTAGTTTTTATGAAATGATATGATAAAGACAAATATACAGTTAACTATAAAATTATTAACTTACATGCAAAGGAAAAAAATAGTATAAATCTTAAAAATTACATAGTATCATTTTATTTCTAATGAATAATGGCTAGACGAGTATACTCTATCCATTTCTTGCGTGCCCGCAGAATCGATCGATCGCCCGCAGAGAGGTCGATAACGTCATCGAGATATGAGACGACTATCAACAAGGGCGGATTTAGGAGGTTCTGGCCTCAGCTCAGTTTCATTCGTGTTTAAATTTAGAGGCACGGGAAATAATGTCCGTATTTTAAAACTAGCATTGAAATATTCACTAATTTTATATATTATGTATGATATAATATTATGTTTCAATCTTTAGCACTTATTTTACATTAACCTGTAATTTTTCTAAATTAAAGTTGAAGAATATTTATAATTACAAAATTTCAAAAATATATAATTCGCGATCTGCCTAAGTTCGATGGGAAGGCTGTATAGCTGACGCCCGCCGTGCCAACTATTTCGTATAAGACGACGTCACATGAGTTATTAATTTTCACTCAAGTAAGAAATGATCGCTGTGCTAGGTACAAACTAAGAGCGCTTGGGCACTACATGGTAATATTATCGTTCAGAATGTCACGTCAGTCGCGTAGCCCTTCAACGATAAAATAAGGATGAACACTCGTGGAATACACTACTTTACTATCGGTAATATCGCCGTGTAGTGGTGTTGTGGCAGCATGAGAGAACCCACCCCATCCCGTGGGTGTCGTAACAGACCACAGAGGGAAACTTAAACAAGATGAACAGTAGCATCCTCCTGATAACAAAGCCAAGCGTGTCAACTATGGAAAATATCCTCCCCCCCCCCCCCTCCGCCACGAAAGTGTCTATTGGGGAAGCCTATGTTTTGTAGTGGACATTGATAAGCTGTAATGATGATGATAAATGTGATATTAAAAAGAGTTTTCGGGCAAATCGAATTTATGAAAAGAAATAATAAATAAATGTAGTACTGAAAGGAAATAATAAATAGATGTAGTTGATTTTCTTCGTATAGGCCGGTATGTACACTTTTTTGTTTTTATATTTTTGCCTCAGTTATTATATCACAAATTTTAATTATTTTCATATCTAAGCAGTAGTTAATTTTTACTAGTTTTTCACTTTTACTAATGATAGGGTTATAAAGTGAGCTGAAAAACTCTTCAAAAGTACCAAACTTGCTACTTTAATCATGAATAAAAAATATAGACAAGACATATTTACTGTTTACAAAATATAATCTTTGTTTTTTGCGTATTTTAAGTAATTGTTTACTTTAACGTAAATAACTTTGATAAATTCGATGGAGTAACTTTGCACAAACTGTTTGATTAATGGAATTTACGATAAAGACAACGACAGCTCAACCAGTTGTACTGAAAGTGATTACATAAATTTGTTTTTAATCTAGTGCAGTCTTTAATTCATATTACTCAATTTCTATAAATTAGCAGTAAGCACTAAATATGGAAAAAAACTGATAAATTTCATGTTTTCACTCATCTGTTTCTAATATATTTTAGTAATAACCTAGATAAAACTGTAAATGATTACGAACTGTAAAGAACTGATATCGATATCTCGGAAGAATCGAATATTGTAGGTAGATTTTTCAGTTGGAATATCTAGTCCAATAAATGTGACAGCTGTCAAAAGGTATTTCTTAGATTTGTTGGAGTATAAAACGATTGAAGTCCGAGATTAACCAAAGCTAATAATGTTTACATGGTTGAACTACACTAAAGCATTTATAACTGCCGAAGCAGATATGGACAACGCTTGAACTGAATACAAATGTAAAATAGCAACATTGTGCAACTGTGAACCATGAATAACGGGAACTTGACTATATTTTAATAACATCTACATTTTAATTCTTAATTGGTCAAAGGTTAAAATTTAATATGGAGGTGTCTATGGGACATAATATCTACTTCCCATCAGAATAATTGTGTGCTCAATTTGTCATTTTAAATTAAGAACAAACTATGTTTTATTTTTCAAAACTTTATCGTTTTTGTAAGTAAATTCTACAATGTTAAAATGATAATACTCTTCTTATATGAATACTGTAAAGGTAAAATTAACAAGTATTTATTTGTTTATTTATTTATTTCAAAACTTACATGTAACACCTTAAACTAAAGGGTACATAAGTATGTACCTATAACAACAACAAAAACTTTGGGCAGCCAATATATACGATAAAACTTATTGCTTTAAAAAGGAAATTAAAACCAGATACTTATAGAAAAAAGATTGTGATGTGAAAATAAAAATAAAGATTTGAGTGAAAAATATAATAAATATTAACATAATACTAAGCTTGTCTTTTTTTGAATGATTTTTCTACCAAGCCTTGTTTAAACAGCTAAACCTTAAAGTGCCGATCGTTGAGCGTATGGGTACTACTTGTGATTATTAGTTCGATCTGAAATATATTGCGAATTCGATCTTTTTAGCTGCTTTCGCTGGTTTATCGATACCGATAAACGATCGTCATAATCGACTCTCTGATACTATAACTCACACAAGCGCGGTGCGAACTTGAAGATAAACTCTCCATTTCGGTTTTACAGTTTAATTTCCTGACGCACTCAAAAAATGGACAGACTATACTTAGTATTATTTATTAGTAGATATACAATTAACTGTAACTGTAACTTTATTATTTCAATAGAGAAATAGAGATTAAAGAAATTGTGTTATTGTTGTGTAGGCGATATTATTATTGCATTCAGTAACTATTTACTCGTATAATTACACCCTTCTGGAACCCACTCCCACGTTTAGTTAATTTGATTGCAGTATGTCACGCGCAGATGAAGTGCCTTCCGTACAACGAGACGTTCAACATGAAGTACAACTAAAGCCACCCATCTAAAGGTAAACATGCGGCACGGCAAGATTTACAGATCAATCCAATCAGTTAAACGCCACAGCGCTACAAGCAGCACAATTTATTCCTATAACGTTTGTGAACTGTGAAATAAAATTGAAATAAACTTTCATAAAATTAATGACACTCTTCTCAAAATCCAATTACAATCCCTAAACGGACACGCGTAGGAACATACCCCTTTAGCTTTAGCTGGGTGAGTTGGTGTTCCGCAGCCACTAGCCATGGGAGACGCTTCGCCCTCTTTCTCACTCGAGTCGCTCGACGGGCTATCGTGCGATACTGGCTTGTACGGAGGGATGGTCTTCACGTTACCGCCCTTTTTCTGCACAATCAACACTTCAACTACGTAGGTGTTTCCGTTCATGTTTGCCGTACAATTAAGTTATAAATAACGCCTTTGTAACACATGTGTGTTTTGAAAATTATTCTTTATCAATTTAATATAAAGTATTGAATCAGACCAGAGTGAATGAGAGCGTGGAAGATTCCTACAAGCGTCTCGCAATGCGCGCACAGACGTACGGGGTCCACCGTAGAGAAAATAACGCGACATTTAGTACTGCAGGCGTGGGCTGTCTCCGCTCGCGGCAATGGTACACGTGGTCACGGCCGGCCGCAATGTTGTTACGTTTAATCGAAAGAAAATAACCATTAAAATCTTTGTGTATACGGTTGCCTAAACACAAGTAAAACCAGTTTGTCCATAATGATTTCTTATATTAACGCTAACACTACACATTTAAATAATACTAGCTTTTACGGATTTCATCGCGATAAAATCCGTAAAAACTAGTATATTTAACTTATTATTAATATATTTAATTTCTTAAATACCCGACGTTTCGAGTACTTTACAGCACTCATGGTCACGAGGGGGACTGAGATGTTCAACGTCCAGATGTCATAGTTAACCGCGGTTACCATAGATTAAAATTTAACTTTTGTTCCGATCTACGCAGTATAAACTTATGGTATCTTGAAGGCTTGCAGTTGTATGCTTGGGCAGGGTTTTAATTTTATTAATTATAGGATCCCAAGCAGATGGTAGCACCCAGCCATATTCTCTATGGAAATTAGGATGTTTTTGATGTCAATAGCCTCGCGAATCATCCTTGGAACGAATCAGTGTTTTTAGCGAGGATTTGTGGTCTATCAAATCTGATGTAGTGACGGGGGCGATCCTGTATGTGTTCAGCCTTGAAAACACAAAGTACTGAACTAGCTTTCCGTACCGCTATATTACCCATGATCAAGGTGTAACAGGCAGTCAATCATGATTCCCGTTTACATGAATTCGCATATTAAGGGAAGCCCAAGCTATTTACATGGTAAGATTCCCATATTAAGGAATGATAAAGTTCGCATAGTTTATGTTAGACTAATGCCTTTCAAAAAGTAAGTAATGCATTAAAATCGTAGGTAGTTTTTACATGATGCGCGAATAAACCTTTTTAAATTACAATTTTATGAGAGTATATTTAATAAAATATAATATAATATAATATAATATATGTAATTAATTATTAAATATAATAATAAATCTTTTAAAACTGGTCGGGATTTCAAAGTATAATAATATAAAAATAACAACTCTTCAACCCAGCCAGGCCTAGAGTTGCCATTCCTATATAATCTATTAAATAAGGGATAAGAACACTATATATCTAAAAAATATTACTTCAAATAAATTAAATATTAATTTGAAACACCATCATCATAATAATCATTAGTCATTACAGCCTTTTCAAGTCCACTGCTGAACACAGGCCCTCTAAAGAATGCTACAAAACATAGTCCTGATATACCTGGTATCCATCGACTTCCTGCATCTTACCAGGCTTTTGTTCTATCTATTGAAACATACAATATACTTTTTTATATTTTTTGCCATATACAACTTTTTTACAAGTAATAGCCCTGAAAATACTATTTTCGAATTATATAAGTTGACAAAGCTAGTCAGGCCTACCCCTCAGCACGTCAATTCAAGGTAACGCCACAGTTTCCGCATTCTCGTTCACTCTGATCAGACTCCATCACTTCTTGAGTCTCTTTTAAAATTATTTTTTCCTAATTTTGCGAAATTTCAAAAAACACTTGAAAGTGAAATTTGCACCGTCATAAATAACTAATGAAAAAGAAAAATTTTCTCAAAATATTTGATATCAGTGAATAAATAACAAACAATTAAAAAATCATAAAATTCTGTATTTAAACTTTGCCTGGCAAATTCAAATAAATAAAAAGTAATTTAACATTATATGTATTATATAAAATAATAGATAATATGTAGGATATTGAAGTATATATACACTTACAAGCTTACTGTAATGATGCTGACAATATCCGCAATATTTTACATTGTCCAAATAATTTCCTGCCTCTTCACACAACAGTCCCAGGCTCTGAGCACATGTCACGTGAAATTGTTGCTTGCACCCTGTGGATTTAAAATTTTTGTAAAACAATACACAAAATAGTCACTTAATGTCCTAAAACCGAACTTCGGTTGGATTTAGAATCGTTTGGCAGGAATTTGGGGGAGTAAGGAGTTTTATTTGGATTTACAAGTTTGGTCATAGATTATAACAATACCATTCGCATTAAAAGGTAATGCACCGTTTTTTAGAAAATAAGAAAAAACTATTATAGCCTAAAATGTGAAAAACATGGAAAAATGTATGAAATATGGTATATTTATTTTCCTATGGTATACTCAGTCAATTGACAAATCGCATGACATACTAATTTTTTGGTTGCTCTTCTTACGTGAATGTCTGCTCTCCATTGTATAATTGCAACTTTTATCGCGCTATACTTGAGCGCCCAGAATTTTTTTTACCATCCAGAAATACTTTCAGTTGAAATAAGCTAGAAAGTCGTGGCGGGAGCGAAGAGCTGCGTCGCTCCTAACACAGCCTACGTGGTTATTTTTTTACCATCCAGAAATACTTTCAGTTGAAATAAGCTAGAAAGTCGTGGCGGGAGCGAAGCGCTGCGTCGCTCCTAACACAGCCTACGTGGTTATTTTTTTACCATCCAGAAATACTTTCAGTTGAAATAAGCTAGAAAGTCGTGGCGGGAGCGAAGCGCTGCGTCGCTCCTAACACAGCCTACGTGGTTATTTTTTTACCATCCAGAAATACTTTGAGTTGAAATAATCTAGAAAGTCGTGGCGGGAGCGAAGCGCTGCGTACCTTCTAACACAGCCTACGTGGTTATTTTAATTTTACCATCCAGAAATACTTTCAGTTGAAATAAGCTAGAAAGTCGTGGCGGGAGCGAAGCGCTGCGTAGCTCCTAACACAGCCTACGTGGTTAATTTATTTTTTTTACCATCCAGAAATACTTTCAGTTGAAATAAGCTAGAAAGTCGTGGCGGAAGCGAAGCGCTGCGTAGCTCCTAACACAGCCTACGTGGTTATCAAAAACGCTCGTACTCCTAACACAGTCTACTGGTTATTTTTTTTACCATCCAGAAATACTTTCAGTTGAAATAAGCTAGTGTCGTGGCGGAAGCGAAGCGCTGCGTAGCTCCTAACACAGCCTACGTGGTTATTTTTTTACCATCCAGAAATACTTTCAGTTGAAATAAGCTAGAAAGTCGTGGCGGGAGCGAAGCGCTGCGTAGCTCCTAACACAGCCTACGTGGTTATTTCTCAAAAACGCTGCGTAGCTCCTAACACAGTCTACGTGGTTATTTTTTTTACCATCCAGAAATACTTTCAGTTGAAATAAGCTAGAGTGTCGTGGCGGGAGCGAAGCGCTGCGTAGCTCCTAACACAGCCTACGTGGTTATTTTTTACCACACAGAAATACTTTCAGTTGAAATAAGCTAGAGTGTCGTGGCGGGAGCGAAGCGCTGCGTAGCTCCTAACACAGCCTACGTGGTTATTTTTTTACCACCCAGAAATACTTTTGCACTCAAAAATCCTTACAGTTGTGATAGGAGACAACCCGCTTCCCCTTGTCTCTCCTGTAGAAGACGAAAAATCTTATCATTTTGAGGTGATGAATGGGATTTTCTTTATGATTTTCTCAAGAACGGTGTATTACCTTTGATGGGAGTTGGTTAGGGTAGGTGTTAGGGAACAATTCTAAATTTTAAAAAGCCTATAATAGTTTTTTTATTTTCTCGAAAAAGGCGCATTACCTTAATGCGAGTGGTATTGTTATAATCGGGGACAAATCTCTACCGAATAACACACCTTACTCCCCCAAATTACTTCCAAACGATTCTAAATTTTAACCCTGTGCTCGGTCAGCAAAAGACAAACTCCAAATAAATTTGAACAGAGTTCACACTACTACCGCAGAACGGTTTAGCTGTCATAATTTCCCCTGAAATATATTTTATTTATTTCTTAGTTATCCATGTTTCTTCATAATAATTTCTGTTACTTTGGTACATGGTTTATCGGCACTTAAAATAAGTATAAGCAAGAATCAATTCAAATTGAAGTGACATTCTGTTATATGGTATGAACATAATCACTATTCGTAGAATCGATTGACGATCGATACACAACCCACAGTTGATTTCATTGCTTTATTATTATTTTGTACACCTGATACGAAATAGTAATATCGCCATCTATCAGAGAACAAAAATATTCTAGCATTTGCCATAGTAGTCTTTCCACGGATCCAGGAATCGGGTGTGGTACGAGAATATACTATAATTATTATATAGTAGTCTCATTTTACCTCCACACCTTCACCCCTGGGATCCGCCGTCCACCAGGGTGGATCCCAGGGAACCGGGAGAATGTCCATGCTCAAACATGGTACGAGACAATATGGGATGATAGATTCTATTACGCAGCTATTACACAGCAACGACTTGCAAACCTTTATGTGACTATAAAATTTTAAGTGAATGCACAGGCACATAGCCACTACATCTTATAAAGTGTACCTTTACCCTAAAGGTGAATGCACACTTATCAGCACCGTACGCGCGGCACTGATTGCCTCGCACATTAAACATATGCACCGTGCGCAAATATTTATTGATGCCAACAACTTTTGCAGTTTTGTTAACCACTGGTATAAAACGGTACAGTGACATTGATTAAGCTATGAGAAAAATTGTTGAAATATTCTGCTTATTGGCAGAGGAAACAGAAAATTCGAAAAAAAGTAGATTCTGGACTCAAAATATTCATTTAAAAAGGCAGTCTTGTCTGACGAATCATTGTTGCTTTCACGGTAAAAGTAAAAACTCCTGAAATTAAGTACATATTTCGAAACGTGTAAGTGGCTTAACGGTGGAGTAATAATCTTGCCACTAAAAGAAATGTTTCTCCACTAGAAAACTAGTCGAAACCACCAATTTTAGTATGAGCACGCGCCGAACGCGGAGCATTATATGACGGCATCAGCATTTTACAAAATCCTGCGCGTATGGTGCAGTTGAAATGTGCGAGGTTTCCTATGATTTCATACAACGAATTCTAAATTACGGTGCGTACGGTGCTGATAAATGTGCTTTCATCTTAACACAGAGGCACACACTCTTCCTTGCCACCCCGTGGGACACAGCACACTGACGGAATATGTCCTAAGACTGAAAAATGAAATTCGCTTGCTTATTTATTTCCTTTCTAAATTTAACTAATCTCTTAACAAAAAAAAATAGGACAAACCTGATTTATTGCACTGCATGCAAGCCCCAGCACTTGCTCTATGTGATTTGCCCAAATCGTGACAAATGTAACATGTCTGGAACCAAAAACTAGAAATGTAATAAAATCAAATATTGTTATCTAAGCAAGGAAGTAAAAGAAAATTAAAGATAACACTTTCATAGTCATATCAAAATGAGAAGTTAACAACGTAAATAATGCATATTTATTGATAACTTATTTGTTACAACTTTAATCTGAAATACTAGTCCTCCAAGCCAGAATTTCCAACGAAATATAATAGTGACACAAAACTTTGGGAGATAAAGGTCTTTGTTTGGGTGGATTCTAGGCCGAAATACATGTGTTGTACTTCCTATTTTAAAATTTAAGCACTACTTGATGACCACCATGATCGAGTTTGAAACATATATCTCTAACATAACTGAAATTTATCGACCGATGCTGGAATATCACATAAAATAGAAAAGTCCGGACCTTTTTTATTAGAAAAGTTGACTTAGCATCAAAATATAAATATGTTGTCTCTCCTGAAGACCAATACAGAAAGCCGTGTGACCATTAAAATGGGTCTCCGGTTCTCTACACTCATGATACAAAACACAACAGCCTAAGGTTGCTGTCTGTCGCTGGTATTTGTGGGAGCGCTGTTTCTTTAAAGAGTGTAACCCTTTAAACAGAGATATAAGTCTGCATGCCTATTCGCTCTCTTATTTTTCATCAAAATGATCGTACTTAACTAAGAGCAGAAATGTTATAAAACATGATGACGTAATGTACTATAAAATTGTTTTGATGTCAACAAAGTTAGACTGCTGGTCTGGTGGTCTGTTGGTGCGAATAATTTGTCAGTGGCAATATATAAGTGGTAAATATAGCAATTGTGTTATTACCTTTTAATTATTATAATACTAGCTTTTATCCGTGGCTTACGAATTTTATTCCAAGAAATAAAATTTTATTTGCGAGCTCTTAGCACCATGGATAAATGGACTGTATGGAATGAATTAATAAACTGTAATTTTCTATAGACTAAAAAATTTTTATAAAAAATATAGTATGTGTATAAATGTATATTTTACAAAAATATTCTGGAACAGAACACATCTAGAATACTGATAAGTTTCATCAAAAGCTGTTTATTAGTTCTTGGGTGATTTGATAAAACCAAACTTTCACATTTATAAATTACTACTGAGAAGCAGGGTTTTGTAGCTTAGAATAAAATGTTAATACAAAAAATGCATCAGCTTCTAATCGATTCTCATACATATTCACAACACAATGAAGCCAAACATTAATATAAAACAAACCACTATTCTCACCAGAGTTATACAATTGCACCGCCAGTAGGACTCCTAGATTCGCAAAAGTTATTCTATCGCACAGTTAAATGGAAACAGCCATACCTTATTATATCTTTCAGGAGGAATCAGTCGTAGTACTATTGGCTCCATTGAAGTAACATTTCCGAATCTAACTTCGGGTATGTACAATGCACATACCACATGAGCCCAGCCTCCTGTGTCTGTTCGCTTTAAAGCACCTGACTTGGATGGGCAAAGCTCACATCGCTGAAACAGGGAAAACAGTGATTTTTAAATTAAATTCTGTGCCACAGAACAAAAAGCTAAAAGCAGTTGAAAATAAAAGTGTTTATACCTAAATTTGCCATCACTGTATGCTATTTCTTTGCAATATAAAAGAAAATTTCTCATTGTGTAAATAATTAAAACTTACAATACTCATATGCATTGTGATATGTTATTCACCTAAAATACCTTAAAATAACAAGCTCAGTAATTTTAGGCATTAAAATTAATCACATTAAAGTCGGTTACAGAAACAGAAACTTTTTTTATAAAATATAGATTATAAATAATACTGATAAGTAGTGTAAGTAGTCACTTGTATAATTACCACTAGTTTGGAAAGAAACTCTGTCCTGGGAAGAACAAGCAAGAAACTCGGCGGGACTTTTTTTTTTAAATCTATCAACTTATAATCATGTATGTTACAAAATTAACTAACACTAAATTAGAAATCGCTTGGTAGCAATCACCTCATTTTCAGGGGTTATTATCATCCATAAACTTGTTATTATTATAATAACCCTTTTTATAAAAATTAATTGAATAAAGTTTTTGAATTTTGAGCAGGTCAAACTTTGTATATTTTTCGAGATTTTGTCATAAAAGAATGAAATGAAACATCGGAGTCGAGTAGCTGGTACTACTAACTTGTGTCTGTTCCTAGTATTTACAGGATGAATATCACTTGTTTTTGTAAAACTACTTTTATTTTTGTGCACATTCATTACACTTTCGTAAATGTATTGAGAGGCTAAATTTAATATCTTAATTTATTAAAATTTTTGTCTGAGTGAATCTTTAGGTTTTAAACCATAGATTGTTCTTATGGCCCTCTTCTGTAAAACAAATATAAGTCGCGTAGCCTCATAGCAAATTATCATACGTTATCCTATCGAAATATGATCAAGTTATTTTTGTATGTGGTATTTGCGTCAGCGGCCGATGGTTACATTAATGAACCGGTCATTAAAAGAAAGGGGTATGAAAATGAACACAAGTAAGACGAAAGTTCAGAAGATTTGAAAGAGAAGAAAGTAAAACGAAAGAAAATAAGAATAGAAGGGAAGTTGATTGAGCCAGTAGATGAGTTTGTATATTTGAGATGCGTATTTAGCAGGGATGGGAGATATGATAAGGATATAGAACGACGAGTTAACGCAGGAAATAGAGTAAATGGGGCTGTACATTCTATTGTGGAAAGTCAGAATGTATCAAAAAAGGCATGTATGGCAATTCACAATGCTGTGTTAGTTCCTACTCTAACATATAGTAGTGAAAGTTGGGTATGGCGGTCAAATGAATGAAAAATGCGGTCATTAAGGAGTATGTTAGGGCTGAATCTGAGTGACAGGGTGAGAAATTGTGTGATAAGAGAAGAGTGTGGTTTACAAGATGATGTTGTGACCAGGATTAAGAAAGGAATGCTTCGGTGGTTTGGTCATATAAAAGAATGAGTGAGGAAAGAGTCATAAAGCAAATTTATGTTGCAGAAATGAATGGCAGTCTGAACGGGACGTCCTAGGCCAAATTTTATCGACCAAATTGGCAATTTATTGAAAATGGGCCAAATTAGGAGTACTCTTCACCGACTAGCGTGTATGCGTAGGTATATGAATGTAGAGGAGGCGAGAGGTGTGTCAGGATCGTGCCAAATGGAAGTCTCTAGTCTCTGCCTACCCCTCTGGATGACAGGCGTGAGTGTTTATGTATGTTATGTATGTAGCTTGCTAAAGCCCATTGTTGAAAATAGGCCTCCCCCATATCGTGTCATAGGAAAAACATTCGCCATAGTACCCACGCTTGGCAAGCGCGTGGGCAACCGCAGTTTTATTGAGTTATGTTCAGGAAGATTTTGCTGCGCATCTTCACTTTCATTTCCTCTCTCGACTATTGCGACACCCAAAGGATGATAAATAGAATAGTGGATTATTTTATGCCGTCACTAAACGGCGATGTTGATACTTATGTAATTTGCAGTTACATTATTAATGAAATATAAAAATTAAACAATTTTGTTAAAAAAAACTTACTACTTTGCCTTTAGTTTCGGGACTCTCACACTTTCTGCAAAACCAAGGGCCTGTTGGCACTGTCACTATCCCATAACAGGCTTTAAAGAAAAATATATACATTAATATAAACATCTACTACGATTAATTTTGTTAATTACTTGCGGTTGAAATTAAGTTTTTTGATACCTTGATGAACAGCAACTGTGCACCCATTTCCATCACAATAGACCAGCGGGTTGTCGGGCCAACCACGCTCATCTGAGCACACACAGCATCCTCCTACCATCTCCTTCATATTGTACTCCTCATTATTGTTTCAAAACCTGTAAGTAGCTAAATGTTAATAGAAATGTTTATAAAGTAAATAAACCAAGTGATGATTTCTTTACCATGTAAACTTGAAGTGATTATGAGGTATGTAACCTTTAAACATCAAGCAGAATAAGGGCCGACCTTCATTTGCCGATCACAGTTAGTTTTCGGTCCGATCTCGGTCTGATTATACATGGCATGGGATTCGAGCGAAACTTGACTGTTACGGATAGTATGAATGCACACACATATTTTTACTTGATAATATTTTATCATACCGAGATCGGACCGAGAACGAACTGTGTACGGCATTATAATGAGGCTCAGTCCTAAAGAACATGGCGACATATTTTGGTTAATGATAGCAAAATAAACAGATGGTTCTAAATGTCTTTTTTGTAAAAGAAATAAATATCATTTACAAATTAACTAACAAGCCTTGTGTATTGTCTGCTAAATCATCTTAATAGAAAAATAATAAAATAAATCAGTGCATACACTTATAGATAATCATTATATTTCAAACACATGGAATGAATAATTACTAAAGAAGAATATAGACAGTACAGTTAAATACTTAATATTAAGATTTTTCATATTTATCACTCAAAATTTGAAATCATCCTGAAAACCAATTAAAAATATTTATTGAATATTATTCCGAATATTATAAATATTATCCACATTTATTCATACAATGTTCAATGTCTAAATCATATAAATTTAACCATATCAATTTAGTAGGATTGAGATGATAACGAAAGCAAACAAATATTTAAAATTCCATTCTTATTTTACATAAAAAAGTACCAATTTGAAGAATAATCACAGCACAATTATAATCCAACACTTTTAAAGCGAACACAATCACACATAAAATTAAAAACCTTTTACTCCAAAGACATATTTTAATTAACATCAAACGACAGCCTACTTCAAAGTTGTAAAAGAACCGAAAACATGTATCATCATCACCATAGGAGCTTGTTACAAGTCCACAGCTGAACTTAAGACTCCCCCAAGGAATGCCACGAACTATGGTCTTCAGCCACATAAAATAGATACATTGTTTTACTGATAAATTACCTAAAGTGGCAATGGGCCAGCTATATAACTCAAATAACCAACAACCAATGGCAAGAAAGGTTCTCGAGTGGTAGTTCACTCAAGGGAGAGACGACCTGCTAATAGTTAAAATATGTACTTTATTATTTATACATAAACACACTAACAGCTAAATAGCTGATGCGTGTACGTCTTAATATTTGTAGATTTTACCCAATCTGTTCTTGAAGGCATCAATCACATTTTGCGGTAGCTTATTCCAGTTGGTGACAACACGATTTGTAATAAAATTCTTCATAAGGTTCTGCTTGGCAGCCCTATGGCAAAGTTTAAGTTGATGTCCTCTCAGACGTTTGTTGCTATTTTAGTAAGTTCAAATTTTGCAGAGTAGGAACATTGTAATATCCTGTCAGTATTTTGTATGTTTCAATCAGAGTACCTCTCTGTCTACGGCACTCTAGTATTGTGAGGTTAAGCTTTTTCATTCGCTGCTCATATGTCATGTTTCGCAGTTATTTTACCATTTTTGTGGGCTTCCTTTGAACATTTTCCAGTAGTTATATTAATATATTTACGAAAGTATGGGTCCCATATCACATTTGCAAACTACAAAAGAGGTCTTAAGTAGGTTCGGTAAATCTTGTTAAATGTTATAGGTGTGAGACACATAAAGCTTTTTCGAATCATATACACCATGGGATTTGCCTTTTTTACTACGTTAAGGATATGAGCTTCCCATTTGAGGTCACTGGTTATTGTAATGCCAAGGTCTTTTTGTGATTCTACAGAAGAAAATGGGTGGTCACATAGATAATATATATTTCGTGGATTATTTTTCCCTATATGTAGAATCGTACACTTGGCTGCATTCAGTGTCAGGAGCCAATCATTAGTCCAATCGCGGATGGCATTTAGATTCTGTTGTATAAGTTGATATTGCGTAATAGGGTTTCCAAAAAAAATTGTGTTATCGGCAAATAATGAGAACGGTATCCGTAACGTGCTTTTCAAATCCGATAAATATAGGATAAATATTAATGGTCCAAGAACAGTTCCCTTCGGAACTCCGCTGAGTACTTCCCTGGGTTTAGACATTATACTTCCAACTCTTACGCAGAATATTCTGTCTGACAGAAAATCACTGATGCAGGCCAACAATTTTCCGCGTATACCGAAGTGTTCTAATTTGCATATAAGTCGCTGTAATAGTACACGGTCAAAAGCTTTTTCATAGTCAAGATTATCAGATCTGTGGGTAATCTTGTGACCTTGTTATGGTTTGTGACCCATTCAATAACACATTGTAACATATTTGTAATGACTAATCGCCTTGGTACAAACCCGTGATGTTCATCTAAAATCAGTTGTTCTTTTAATAGAAATTCTCTTAATTTTTCAGTTATGATCTTTTCCATGGCTTTACAAAGTATACTTGTTGCCATTTTTATAAATAGGTATGACTGTAGCTTTCTTCCAATCAGCGGGTAAGCGTCCATCATCCATGGTTCTGTTCATAATGCTTGATATATGTTCAGCAAGCAATGATGAGCATCACTTTAGTAATATGGATGATATTCCATCAGGACCAATAGCAGTAGCATCATCAAAGTTTAACAAGATTTTTCGAACGATCTCAGCTGTTAATTTTACGTCATCAGTTGAGCTTATTACCGTTGGCATATTTATAGAGGGACTTTCTACACCTAGTTCTCTTACATAGATGTTAACGAACTGATCTACAAACAGCTCCTTGATTTTTTGTGGTTCAACTACAAGTTCTTGTGACTCGTTTTAAGAATGTTAGGAATGGTGACTTTAGAATTAAGTTGCCCTCTAATGTATCCGTAGAGAGCTTTTGGTCCTGAATCTATAACATTTGATTCAAAAAGAGCTCTTGTATATTTTGTCAATTTAATAATTTCATGCTTAATATTTCCAAATTTTCGGTACGAATCTTCTGTTTTATTAATATTATATATATTCCATAATTCTTTTTTTCCGTTTTGTTAAATCCAAAATTTTTTTATTTATCCATTGTTTCTTATTAGATTTATTTATTTTCTGTGATTTTTTTACACAATTTTCAACTGATGTATGTATTTGATCTCTAAATGATAGCCCCATTTCATCTACTTTGTTTTCAATTATGTTTAAGTTTTCTGTTAAATCTTTGTTGAATTTGCTGTAGTCAGCTTTATAAAAATCTAAAATCTTTTTTATCGGCAATTTATTATCGTTATTAACTATCTGCACAGAAGCCAATATGACCAAATGATCACTCTTTCCAATGGGCGGAAGAGACTTAACATCAGTTATTAAAGTTTCATCATTACACACTATAAGGTCTAGTAGGGATTCTTCATTATTACGTTTCGTTGTGATTCGTGTTACAAGCTGATTGAGATTACTAATTGAATACATTGCTACAAAGCCTTCACATAGCTTGTCACGCCCAGTTATATTATCGAGTGACCATTTTATATTTGGTAAGTTCAAATCACCTGCAATAATTACTGTCTGTTTTGAAACTACCTTTTCTATGGTGTTAAATAATTTTCATCAGCACTAATTTTTTTAAATTTTTTAAACATTTGAGGGAGGACGATACCACACAAGGTAAAATTAAATCTATTTAAAAATTAATATATATTTTATTCACTTTTGATATAACAGGTACATTGTTAAGGTCATGTGCAACATACATTGCTACTCCTCCCCCTTTTCTATCTATTCTGTCCAACCGAAAGAGCGTATATCCATTTATATTCATAAGACTGTCATCACTCATCAATTACAGAATGTAAATGAGTTTCTGATATCAAAATAAAAGCAGGTTTATGTGTATTAACTTCAAAAAATAAATTTAATTTCGTCGTAATGGATAACAGATTCGTGTATAGTATGCGGAGTTCCGTAGTATTATTATGTGCTAGTTTTTTGAAGTTATTATAATTTTTGGTATGTTATTGATATATTTGATCGTAAGATTTTGCTCACCTTTTTCTGTTCTAACCGCTAATTCTTCACGAAGTCTTCTAAGTTTATCTATTTGATATGGTGTCATATCATCCTTAACCTTAACAGAGTTTTGGCAGCTTACCTTTATTTTTGAGAACACTTATAGCATTTTATTTAATGGCCAGGACTACCTTGATAGGACGCGGCTTTTCAATTTTGTATACAGGTTTACCCAAACAGAAGACAGTGAGGATTTCCGGTTCGTGAGTTGCCAGTGACATAATAGTTTTAGAAACCTGGTCTTTATCATGACTTTTTCTGTCTTCTTGTGAATTTGCTGTAGATACAGGTATTCCAAACACAATAAGGTTACGACTACGATTTTATCTCTCCTGAATTTCGTTTATCACTGTGCCCAAATTCACTATGTTTATATAATTTGTCTTTAATTCCTGAACCTGCTGTTGTAGCTCTGTTACAAGTCTGCGAAAATCTGGAATCTGCTTTAGCCGCTCCTCGCATTCATCACATAGATTTTCTGTTGCATCGCATTTCTGTTGCAGTGAGTCCACTGCATTTTCATTTCAATTAATTTTTGGGGTCTTGTTATCAATACGACTGTTACACTTGAAACACTGTGCCATTTTGAATTTATTGCTCCCAAATGGTAGTATGGTTAAGGTAGTCTATTTTTATTAATGTGGTAACCTGGTATTGTTTATATGGTATGGTATTATTGGTCACTTTTTGATAGCTGAGAATGTCAAATTTTAAGAGGGTAGTACAAGAAAATGTTAATAAACCGACATCTATCACATGTAAAACACTATTTAAACACAAGATTAACGCAATTCAAAGTCACAGTTTTACTATATTTATCAATTTACAATGTAGTATGTGAATCAATCTCCAAAAACAACACAAATAGCACTATTTCCCAGTGTATTAATT